AAATTGTCAACTCCAAAAAAAATGCATTATTGTTGTAATATGTAATATGTTATAGGTACCATATACCATATAAACAAAAACAGGTTTTTAGTCACAGGCTGATGTTAGTTTTAAGTTAGTTGACAGTTGCTAAAATAAATTTAATGGATTTTCGTACTTTTTTTTGGCGCCATTATGGTTCCACCATTTTGCAAAGGCAACTTTTTTAAGAAAATAATTTTTGGATACATCTAAGCCACTTAAAAACAATGAACGAAATAAGTTATTGCTACACTAGTTCAATAATGAAAATCTTGCATTGTATACAAATTGAATTTTACTGGTAAATAATACAGAAAAATTTAACCTCAAAACCAAAACACATCTGTCAATTATAAGATTAAGGTTAGTTCACACTATGAATCGTTTTTTATAAAGTATTTATTAATATTTAATTTTTGATTTCATTGTGGGACAAGATATTATGTAAAATTTATGAGAAATGGTCGAATATTGGTCAAACGAATGCTCGTTCATAAACGACTTGTTGCACAATATACTATAGAACGTCATATTTTACTTTTCTTCGGAATCACCCATAACATAATAGTATATTATGTATCAAGTTTGCGAGCGAGTGCTTAAATTAATGAGTGTATAGAAAAGTTTATAAACCAGGTGCATACTATACTTTTTCTACGACAAAACTTATTATTATCTTAAAATGGTTTAAATCAAAAATTTAATAGAGCGCCATCTATGAAACAAGGGGGGAATCTGTGTCACCGTCAAATGTCAAATTTTTATAAACACAGATTGTAAAGGTTATAAATCGAAATGTATTTCTTGAAAATTGACAGTTTTTCACGGTGAAAGTAAAGAAAATGTTTTATGAGCACTTTACAGTGGAGTCCGTGTCCGAATTTAAGTTATAGTTTACTGCCGGCGAAATTAAAAGGTCAGTACAATGTTCATATAAAGGTTTCAAATATTGTCGTTGAGAAACTATTTAACTATGATTTCGCGAAAGAATCGAACGATCGATTTACAACACATCTCAGATTTTTTTTTAATTTTAATATTTTGTTTATACATCCAATTTAACACTAAATCTAAAATTTTTCTTTAATCTGACTTAAACTTTAGTTCCTAGAAACCATTTAATTTTGCCTTTCACAAAAAGGACAAATTCCATTATTTTGGCATAGATTTTTTATTAAAATACTGAATGATTTGAAATTTGGCCCATGTATGACCCATATTAGTACCTACAATTCTGTCAAAAAAAGTTTTAATTTTTTACATACAGGTGGCGCTGCAATTTTTTTTTCTTCGAAAGTAGACGTTTTTTGAAGACAAAAAATTCTCTTAAGCAACAATGCTCAAAAAAACTAAATAGCGTACCAGATAATATAGATATTCCTTTATAATTCGACATATAAAAATTTACTTGCAAATGATGTTGCCGCCAGTAAAGCCAACTTAAAGTTTGGTCTACCGCATTAAAAAAAATTGAATTACACTTTCAACTCTATCCTTATTTATAAACTAAGGAACTCCAGGTGATGGCTTTTATTGGTAACTAAAACGCAACAAAAAAAAGTTTTATTTTTTTATATACAGGGGGCGCTGCAGCCTTTTTTTCAAAAATAGAGACCATAAAGTTACTATAATGTATCCGATAATATAGATATTCTTTTATTGTTTGACATATAAAAATTTATTTGCAATAATTAATGCCTGTTGTAGGGACGATTAAAATTATAACTATTGCACGTACCCGCATGCGGGTATAACAATATGCACTAGTGCACGTACTATAGTAAGTGCACTAGTGCATATTGTTATATAAACGCCTTTTTTCGCTTTTATTGTTGTATGCGGACAAAAGCTAACAAAACCAAAGAAATTTTAATTACAAATGGTAACAAGTATTTCAGTGACTCTATAGTAATAGTAATATGACCATTTGTTTAAATATATTTTAGTATATTTCGAAAGGCAAAGCATTCTTTATTATCTTACTTTAAAATTAAACTAAAGTCAAGCCTATAGGCTGGAAATCAAGTTACCCCAACAGTTGATAGTTACTGTCAAACGGTAACCATAATAACATTTAAAATTTTGCCGTTATTACAAAAGTTGAAATTGGAGAGGGAAAATATCATGCTTTTAAAGGTACGCAAAGTTAATAAATTTTCTTTAAGTAAATCAAAATTCTAGGAATTGAATTTTCTTCTGGAGTAAACATGAAAGTTCCTTGGACATCATCGAGTCGACAAAAGGAAAATCTAAATAATTTAAAAGCAATTAAATATAGGTGCGACGAATTACTTTGCAGTAGGGTTTTTGAAAATGAAGATGATCTTCTAAACCACCTTAAATTTCAAAATCATTAATTTCCTGAAATTAGACAAACTATAGGTGATGTTGCTAGAATGGAATTTTTAAAACAAAAACTGCAACTAGTTCAACAATATCTACCGTTAATATATGCCCAAATGAAGAAGATAAAAATACGTTTTTTCGAGTTTATGCAAAAGGGTTCGGAAGGCGCAAAATTAAAAAATAACGTTTTAATGAAAAACAAAAAGATTTTGTTGGCAACCTTTTTGAAGAAGGTGAAAAAACTAAAATTAAATATACGCTTGAATATATAGCAACAGCTTCACAAAATTATGAAGTAAATGGCAAATTTTATTTTTCTTCATCCTATAGGATGCATATACTCGTTTGAAGAAAAATAAAATTTGCCATTTACTTCATAATTTTGTGAAGCTGATTATAATCAGATACGCGGCTTATTATCAAGATTATCGTCAGATAGAAGGTTAAGTAAAATAGAAAAAGAAAATTAAAAAATTTGCCGGAAGAAATTGAAGAAATTAGCCCAGAAGCGGATGAACTTTTTTTGAAGTTTTATCAGTTTTAAAGTAGTTCCTTTGCGGCCTAAGTAACTTTTAAGTTATAAATAACCCTGGTTAAAATCTCTAGACTGATTCTGAGAATCGCTCTAGAGATTTGAACCAGCCGGTATGATATAAACCAGGGTTATTTATAACTTAAAAGTTAGCGAATATACCCCTTAGAGCCGAACAAGTTTAAAATTTAAGGTAAAGGTAATAATAATTATTAGGATATATTTTTATTATTTAATATATGCAAATCTTGCAGATAAATTGTTATATGTTAAATAATAAAGAAATAGTAATATCAATAATAATAATAAAGAAAAACATAATAAATAAAATAAAGAACAAACCTATTAAATAAATAAAGGAATACTTAACTCTTTATAATAAAGGAATACATAACTATATGAAATGCTATATAGTTTTTAAAGAAAAAAGGCTGCAGCGCCCCCTGGGCGTGAAAAAATAAAACTTTTTTTTGCTGTATTATTGTTACCAATAAAAGTAATCTCCTGGAATTTCTTAGTTAATAAATAAGAATAAAGTTGTAAGTGTAATTCAATTTTTTTTAATGCGGTAAACAAAACTTTAAGTTGGCTTTACGGGCGGCAACATCATTTGCAAGTTAATTTTTACATATCAAATTATAAAGGAATATGTATATTATCTGGTATACTATTTAGTTTTTTTGAGCATTGTTGCTTAAGAGAGTTTTTGGTCTTCAAAAAACGTCTATTTTTGAAGAAGAAAAAATTGCAGCGCCACCTATATGTAAAAAAATTATTTTTTTTTTGGTAGAATTGTAGGTACTAATAAGGGTCATTTATGGACCACATCTCAAAACATTCAGTATTTTAATAAAAAAATTATGCTAATATAATGAAATTATGGCTTTTTGCGAAAGGTAAAATTAAATGGTCTCTGGAAGCCAAAGTTTAGGTCAGATAAAAGAAAAATTTTAGATTTAGGGTGGAATTAGATGTATAAACACAATATTAAAATATAAAAAAAATCTGAGATGTGTTATAAAAAAATACCCCAAAATCGTTCGATTCTTTCGCGAAATCATAGTTAATACTTTTGTATTTTTGTATTGAGATAATAAAATAATTTTCACATTTAGTATTAATTTACAAGAAAGGCACTTTATTTTAAGATTGTACCTATGACATTTTACACACAAAACTAACTTCAGCCCGTGACTAAAGCGCCATAAAGCCACAACTTGTCAATGTGTATTTAAAAGGCCACTTATTGTCATGGAAACATGTGCGATAATGGGCGTTTTAAAGGTGGGAGTAGAAAAACAATTTTAAGTTTTGGCTGTGACGTTAACCTGTCAAGATCCTTTTAAAATATCCCATTTAACATTGGATTGGCGAATTTTAAATTTCCTGCTTAAGTTTAATAATACATATGTGGTATTTTAAAAGGCAAAATGTTCCAAACTTGCGAAATATTTAAACAGTTAGGAGTTTCTTTTATAAAACCCTTTAAAAGTTTAAAAACTTACAAGAAAATACTTTTATTACTACAAGCATTAAGGCGGACTTACGCTACATCCTTATACAGGGTGTATAATAATCTACGAGCGGTTTTTAGGACCAAAACTGGCCCCTAAGAGGCCTACAAAGCCTTTAAAGGGGCGCCCCTGAAGATGTTTTATTATTATTGTTTCTGAAACGGTTTAAAGTAATGTATTTTTGGGAAATATGTATTTTTTTATATATATTTTTAAATATATTAAATTAAAAAAAATAATTATTTTCTTTAAATTTGTTATTTTATTTTTATTCAAAAATGGTGCATTATATCTATGTTCAACATAAGTACCCTTTTTACGTAAACATTTTTATATTCTGCAGCCCATTCGCAAAAAATTGGCTAAAATACCCTAACTGTTTAATACACTTATAAATAAAAAAATTAAATTTTGTTCTTATTTTTAAATTGTGAAAATATTTTAGAATTTAACTTTCTGGTAAAATTTAAGCTTACATTTTAAAAAATGCCATGTTATAATTTACATAGTACCTAACCATTTTTGGGAATCTATAAACAAAAGCGTTAAAAATATATAATTTAAATTTTTCCTCAACTTTGTTTCAGACAATATCAGAATATTGCAAAAACAAACAGCAGAAAAAACCTTTTTCTCATATTGTCATGGATTTGCATCAGGAAGTCATGGCTGCTTTAGAAGTGACTTCGTACACCCCTTGGGGTCCACCTGCAATGCCCGAACTGAAACCTAGATCACGAAACAGGTAATTTTAAGGTTACAATTGAATCGGTGAGAATAAGAACAGTACAGTCCAAAAATTTTGAGGTCATTTAAAAAAATTAATTTAAGTTTAAAAAACATTTTTGTGAGAAGATACCTATAAATCATTTAAAAGAATATGATTCATATTATATGAATATTATATTTTATAAAATAGTTAAAATATTCTCACAAAAATGCATTTAGAACTATAAAACTGATTTTTTAAATATTTTGTCAAAATTTTAACTTTTGGACTTGTACTGTTCTTATTCTCACCGATTCAATTGTTTCTGAACGATTTAGAATAAAGAATCCACTATTCAATAAAAACTGCCAGGAAGTTTTTTCTTGAAGACAGTATTTAATAAAATTTTTGTAGATATTTACTTAATAACAGGTTATCCATTAAATTGTTATAAATTACAAATAACATAACAATACCTTATTATCCCTGACGTAATTGCTTTATTATCCACTTAATTGTTCTTATAAATTAACAGATCCGTACTGAATTAAAACATTTTAAAATTATATATATTATTTAAGAATAACGCCGGAAAATGTCAAAAATATCGAGAAAAAAAACGTGGAAAGAGGAAATCCTGGGTTAAGTTTTTCCGGTTTCCCAATAAACAGTGGAAATCCGAATGAAGAAATAAATTGCATACAGTCCCTGTAAATATCAATTGTACCTTTTAGATACAATAAATAGACATTTTAGTAATGATTTAAGTACACTGTAAAAATAATTAACACAAGTCTACACGACCCAAAACCAAACTGTGTTATTCCAAGTCCACACGAAATCGTGTAAAATTTTAACACAGCATCAGTGTGTTGATTTGTTTATTATAACGTGTAATAATTTACACGAAGAATAATTAAACTTTAACACATTGTTTGTGTAATTTTTACACAACTTTAGGTATTAAATTTAACAACAGATGGTGTTATTGTTTAATATTTTAGCGTATTAAATTTTACACTAAATTGGGTAGATAAATAAAAATTACGTTTAAAAAAATACTTTTATTAAAAAAAATATTTTATAATTTCAATTAGACAAAATATTATATTATAATATTTTTATATAAAACAAATTATTAAAAACATTTAAAAAAAGTAATAAAGGAAACAAGATCATTTTAATTTAATTTTAAAGTTTAAATTTCATATTACATATAAAGGGGTAAGAAGCAAAATAGCAAATTTTACACGATATTTGTTAAAATTTACACAACTTTGTGTATCATAACACGATATTTATTAAATATGAGTTTATAACACATTAACGTGTAAATTAACAAGTGGTTACACATTTTAGTGTTGATTTCCAATTTAGGAACATTCGTGTAAAAGTATTTACACAATTTTTACACAAAAATTTTAACACAAAAAAAGAGAATTTACACACTGATATTTTTTGCAGTGTAACATTTCAATTCAGAAAAAATCATAAAACAAATATGTCGTCTAAATTCAAACAGCGTTGTGCATTATTAAAGGCGTTGATTGAGAAAGTTTCCACTCAACGGTAAAAAACAAAAAACGGGTATTATGTTATGTATTATATGTAACATTAGTTGTAATTGTCCCCTCTCCCTTTAGAGCGTGACGTAATATGTGAACGGCCCCTTAGTACGGCACTGAACAAATATATTAATTAGGATTTTTTTTGTTAAATTTTAAATTGTACAAAATTAAAAAAGTAATGCTCATGTACTATTAAGTTAATTTAAGATTTTAATTACTGGGACTAATATAAAACAAGGACATCACTGGGCACAATTTAAAATGTATAACTCATGATTAATTTTGACAATTTTCAATATTGTTTTACTATTTATTTAATCCAATTTATGGAAACAACTACAGTAATTTTTTAATTAAATCAATTTAATTTTTTGGTTAACAAACGCAAAAGCTATTTGTATTGTAAAAAAGGCTCGAAACAATTAATTCCAGCGTATGATTCATGTTTTAATTAGCAATAAATTTATTGTAGATAACTATTCGAACGTAAAAATATCGTGTTTTTAATAAATAAAACGTAATAAACAAAAAAGAACTGGCAATACATTTTCTTGTTGTTTTCCTTTGGGCAATTAAGTGAACCTAAAATATGTAAGAATGTCAGTAATTAACGATCGAAACCACATAAACACAATGATGTATTAACTAAAAGTTAAACGCACAGTTATATAATTTTAAATTTTTAGTCATAGAAAATCTAAATTCTACTAATAAACAATTTTTCCACTTCCATCTTTAAAACGCCCATTATCGTACATATTTTCATTGACAAGCTTTATGGCGTTTTAGTCAAGGGCTGAAGTTAGCAACAGGTTTTAGTCACGGGCTTAAGTTAGCTTTAACTTAGTTGACAGTTATAAATGTCATACTATCGTTAAAACAAAGTGCCCTTTCTGTGAAATAATACTAAATGTGAAAATTATTGTATTATCTTTATACACAAATACCTGCCACTAAACAGGCTGGTAATAATAATAATAATAACGTTTATTGAAAGATGTAATATAAATATAAATAATACTTCCAACTTGGTGTTGTCCGCTGAAGTGACAAGTGTTCTTGAGAGGACAATATGGTGCTCAAAGCACAAAATTAAGCTAATCAGTGCCAAAACTCCAAAATCTACATTAGATTTGTGAAGATGCAATACATTTCCACAAAGGATGGTCGAAATAGTAAAGGATTTAATAGTCATGTTCAAACAGCCATGTAGTGCATCGTGGGTTTTTTTTGCTATTTTTTTTGCCCTCTATTTTTATGTATGACTTCCGCTGCGTGTATGGTGATTTCGTTTATGTTTGAGACATTAGTGTATTAGTGTAATAAAAGTCTGAGAGATTTGTTAAGATTGAACTGTAATGCTAAAATAAAAACTGTAATGCTAAAATAAAAAGATTGATTTATGAACTATGAAGACCGAAGTGATATTGATGGACATTAATTTTGAAAAATAAAACAAATAAGAAGAAAACGAGAAGCTGTAATTTATATACAAGGTGTCCCTAAACTTAGTGGCATAAATTTAGGAGCAGATTAAGCAAGTCAAAATAAGACAAAAATCTAAATAAATATTTTTCCTAATTAGGTATGTTTAAAAGATACAGGGTGATAAAGTGTTACTTATCATATCAGTTTTTTAATATAACTTCCACTATGGTAGACTTGGAAAGGTGATATTTTGCGAACAGTCACTTATTACCAAAACACATATTCACATATAATTACAATTGTTCAAGTGAACGCAGTGTCGTAGAAACAGGGGTTGCTTAATCTTATTGTCCCATACAAACTTTGAGGTTAGGTTTTTATAACATTTGATGCAATTTTTCGATTACTCAGTTCGGCTACTATTAAAAAGGTGTACCTCTCAAACTTCGATAAAATAAACCGAGATATCCGAGATTACAATAATTGTTATATCGCATTAAAGGACTAAAAGGTATATGATAACAATTTTTTTAATTGAAAAAACTAAAATTTTTTTAATGTGACGGTCAGGGCAAAAAGTCTCGAGGGTCATGGAATGCCATTTTTAGTTTTTTCAATTAAAAAATAAAATTTGTTATCATATACCTTTTAATCCTTTTAAATAATGCGATATAACAATTATTGTAATCTCGAATATCTCGGAAACGGTTTATTCTATCGAAGTTTGAGAAATACACCTTTTTAATGGTAGACGAACTGTGTAATCGAAAAATTGTATCAAATGTTATAAAAACCTAACCTCAAAGTTTGTATGGGACAATAAGTTTAAAGCAACCCCCGTTTCTACGACACTGTGTTCACTCAAACAATTGTAATTATGTGAGAATATGTGTTTTGGTAGTAAGTGACTGTTCGCAAAATATCACGTTTCCAAGACTACCATAGTAGAAGTTATATTGAAAAAACTGATATGATAGGTAACACTTTATCACCCTGTATCTTGGAAACATAAGTAATTAGGAAAAATATTTATTTAGGTTTTCTTCTTATTTTGACTTGCTCAATCTTTTCCTAAATTTATGCCAATAAGTTTAGGGACACCTTGTATATTATATAATAAAGAAGAAAGGAGAAGCTATAGGTAATCCTAGACTCGCTTACTCCAGTACCTAAAAGAAACGAGATTAAGCTGGCTAATTCCCGGAAGAGAAAGGCCATTACCCAACAGAAGAAGAAGAAGACTAAAAAAATTTTACTCCCGCTATTAGAGTGTGCGCGTATAGCTTGACCAATGCATAAAACGTAAACTTTCTGCCGTGGAATCGGGGACGAAACAACGTATTTTGAGTTGAGGTAGTAAGAAAATTAAATTATGTTAAAATTTTTCAAAATAAAATTAACAAACTACAAACTCAGGTTAACAAATCTGTAGTGAAAAAATATCCAAAAATATAAAGATTTTTGTACGAAAAGAACTGACTTAGTTCCGCTGATAGACTTTAGCTAGTTTCGCATATTGAATCACTGTGTGGTCGGTAGGTTTGTTAGCGATGAATTATTTGTTTTCAGAAGCGAGTCGACCGCGGACGCGTTAGCAACGATACCGAGAAGATGGATGGGTCTGGCGAGTAGGAACCAGCAACGGCAGACGAGAGAGGCCAGCACCAGCATGGAGGATCTGGTCGCGTGCGCTGCGACGTTGCCAAACCAGCCAGGGAACGTCGTGAGACCGAAGTCGTTGTGCGTGCCGAATACGAGAAACTTTCATCATCTGAATGAAGATGGCGGTTTTGAGAACCGAAGGGACGATGCCAAGGGTGAGTTTCCCAAACCAAATTTTATGATTTTTCAAAATATTTGTCATGAACATCAACACACTTTTTTGGACCTTCATTTTTTTGGGGTTTGCTCATTAGGGTGGGCCAAAAAAAATTTTTAATTTTTTTTCTTTAGTTACCATGAAAATATCGTCCAAGATGACGAAAAAAAAATTCTGATAAAGTTTGAGCTCTTATTATTAATATTAGTGCGATTTTTTTATTTACCATTTAAATAACACTGGAAAAAATATTTTTTGTTTGTAATTTTATTTCGTTTTAACGAATCAGTGAGTTGTAGAAATCAATACATATTCTTGTAGGGAATTGAACGATCTACAAAAAAGATCTTATATGATTTTTTGCTTAGTCGACTCGTTTAAAAGTTATTTGAGGTTAAAGTTCAACCTCAAATAGTAAATGATGACTTTTATAGTTTTTCATACTCTATTACGAAATATTGGGTCAAAAACATGATAGAATATTTATTATTTTTAAAGAAAATTATTAATTTTTTTGTCATTACTCAGGTAAAGGAAAAATTTCGAATTAAAAAAAAATTAAATATAGGAAAAAACCGGTTTTTTCACGATTATTGATATTTCGTAAAAGTTGTATTGTTTTACCTAAGAACACTCGAACACTATATAAATTATATTTCATGTTTTAGAAAATGGCTTTAGGGTAATTCCGTCTTAAATCGTAATTTTGTGGTCACCGTAATTTTGTGAAACAATGAGTTTAATTATATAGTTTTTAATTTGACTTAATAGCTCCTTTAAGTGTTTCTTATAAAGGCCATTACTAAAAAATTTAAAATTTTTGCTCATATTTAAAAAAAAAATACGTTCTATGACCAAAATGTCACATAAGTTACCTGTCACCAACAGTTTTATTATACTTTAAAATTAAATTGTACAGACACTATTAAAAAAACAAATTAACAATGTAGTATTTTCGTTTTAAAAGAGATTTTGACCTTAACATGATTTATTTTATGTATTTTTGTGAGCTTTAGTTTAGTCACCCTGTTTTTGGTCCCATAAGTTACTTTCTACATTGCGGTAACATTTTTGGGACTTGGCAACATAGCAGTGAAGCCGGCTCCAGTCAAAGTGTCATATATTTTGTAATTTGTTTATTGGTTATTTTGTTATAACAATTAACATTAAATACTTAACGTGAGATCTGTGGTTATTGTTAAAATCAGAAGAGTATGTTTATTAAAAGTAGTCACATAAGTTATTATGTAAATCACGCAATTTTAATTATTTTTACAAATTGTTCGTAACATAATCTTAAAATAGGCTTGTTATTTAAATGTATGCAATCCGATTTATATCCCACGTTGCCGGCTTGTTTACAAAATTTAAAAAGCCAAGAAAAGTCACATAAGTTACTGTCTCATAAGTTACCGCTAAGTGGAGAAAATACAAATACAAGAAAAAGCATTGGACTTAGAACTGTTCCAAAACAATGGTATTGATCTTTCGATAAACAAGTGAGTTGTGGTTAGATATGATAAGAATTTTTTTCCCGGAGTTGTGTGCAGTTTAAATAGTCAAGACTACGAAATTAAAGCACTTAAAAATATTGGAGAAAATAAATACATTTGGCCATTACCGGAAGACAAAATTTGGTATTGTAAAACCGACATACTGTTCAATATTTCACCTCCAATAAAAGTAACCAAATGGCTCTTGTCTTTAGATGTTAAGGATTGGAATTTATTAACTTCTATAAGCAACGAGTGAGAAAGTGCAGTTTATAAATGTATTTAAATTATTTAATAAAATGTTTCAAAAATAGCATATTTATATGCTATTTTTGAAACATTTTATTAAATAATTTATAAGCTGTAAAATAATCTATTACCTATATTTTAGAGTGTAAAGCTAAGATTTTTTTTTAAATAATCTATTTTTGCGTTCTAAGTAACATACGTGACAATCACATAAGTTACTAGTATTCCTTTTCCCTCAAAAAAACACAAAAAAAATATGAAAAGTGTACGGCTCGCATTAGTAATTATTTAAGTAGGGTCTAATACTAAGTACATTACTATAAATTATAACTGTTTATAAAAAATAAATTTAAAAATATTTCCTCTCAAAATTGCGATTTAAGACGGAATTACCCTTTAATAGGAATATATATAGAAAAAATTTGCTATACCAACCAACCCACATTACCAACAAAATAACTACATTAGGCATAAGAATTATGTCATCCAAATACGACAACCCCAATTTTACAAAGAAAGCATATTTTTGATGGTACAATTTGGTAGGTAATATCATTTCTATTAAAAATAAGAATTTAGATGAAATAGGTAAAATCACACTATTTAGGGTGGTAAAATTTAAAAATTAGGAATTCTCTTAAAAATTAAAACTTAGGTAAAATAGGTAAAATAAAATTTAGGGTCAAAAGAATTTTTTAATGGATATTATTCCATTCCACCTTAAGTTATGATTATCGTAGACAAATAGGTAATAAAACCAAAAACCCATCTCTATACATAATATACTATTATGAAAACATTTAATTCATTTTACATTATTTTTATTTTTTTACCACGTTTTTTATCCCGCCTTCTTTATTGTATGTTTGGTATAAATTTTAAATTGATTTTAAACCTTCGTTCCTCCAATTGAGCTAAAATGTTGCACACAAGATTACAACCTACTTGATGCCCCACAAAATATTGGTAATATATGGGGCGCGTATAAGCCCAAAATTTTATCTGGGGCCAATATTGAATTTTTTTAGCCGATGTTAGCCCTATATTGGCATAAAATGATAATATATATTGGCATATTATTTTACGCCAATATATCATTAACTATCAACGGTGCTTTCGGATTTCTAAAAGTGATATGTAACGACACACGTTTGTTTCCAGGATATGTTTATACTAGTGGCGCAGGAACGGTTTTAAGTTGAGGGTGGCGCAACCGACTACCATCCTTATTGTTTAGCACCAAATGGGTGAAAATAATAAAGGCCATTCTTGAATATTACCGTAAGAAAAACAAGGGTAATATGCGATTTCTTGTCTTATTAGCAATAAAATTCGTTATTACGTTAATAAAGCTCAAGCTGATCATTCTAGCACACAATACAAACGATTTTAGCATTTCATCGTAATTAAAAATAACATACGGTACACGACTTGTCTTATTGGTAGATTTTTTCAAAGAATTTGAAGGGTACATTTTATATCAAGTAACCCCCTCTCGCCCTTATCATTTGGGCGGGCATTGTCAACCGCCCCCTCCTTATGCCGGTTTTCCACCAAACGGACAAAACAAAAACAAAACACAAACTCGTGTCGAATAAAACAAAACTGCAACTTTTTGCAAACTTTTTGAAGACTGGCGTGTTTTGCGACAGTTTGAGTTTTGTTTTTCGAGTCCCGCTCGAAAGCGGTAACATCAAAAGGTTTCGACGTGTTTTGAAACTCGAGTCTGTTTAGTGGAAACGGTCGTGTTGTGTTTTTTGTTTTCAACTTTTATTTTATTTTGTTGGATACGAATTTCATACTAAATTGGTAGGTAAGTAGTAGTAGAAACATATTTTTTCCAAGTGTATAATAATATTCATATTATATTCCTCATAAGTCTATATAGAAATACTACAATTTAGTTACGAATAGATACGAATTTCATACTAAATTGGTAGGTAAGTAAGAAACATATTTTTTCCAAGTGTATAATAATATTCATGTTATATTTCTCATAAGTCCATATAGAAATACTACAATGTAGCTTTTTAAAATGTTGTAACCTCATTTTTAGGTTAGGTTTAACTGCCAGACGACAAAATGTCACCATTATTGTTCGGCGGTCAATAATAATTTGACTTTTGAACTAGTACAATAATGTAGTGACTACTAGTTCAAAAGTCAAATTATTATTGACGGCCGAACAATAATGGTGACATTTTGTCGTCTGACAGTTAAACCTAACCTAAAAATGAGGTTACAAAATTTCAAAAAAATATCGAAATTTAGAGCCTGAAAAAAATAGTATATACTATACACGGCGGCGAAAGCTTATTAATTACCTCGCACACAATCTACTGCCTCGGCGGCGCGCCGCGGCGCCTCGGCAGTGAAATGTGTGCTCTGCTATAATATGAGCTTTCTCCGCCTAGTCTATAATATACTATTTTATAGATAGAGGATAGAGAATTTGTTTTGTAACGCTGGATCAGTTTAATAGATACACATATAGGTATATATAAATATATTAGACTGGGCCAAAAAAATTGACTATTTTTTTTTAAGAATATATCGAGAATTTCATTCCAAAAATTTGGTGAAAATTTGTGCCCTTAATATTAATTTTAAGAGGTCTATCATCGCTATTTTTGATTTTTAGTCATAATTTGATGTTTTACGTTAGAACTGTCAAAACATTGAAGTGAAAATTCCTTTTCACTTATTTTTATATAAAATTAAATTCTCTAGAAAAAAGGTCTGATTGAAAATTTTCGTCAGACGAGCCGTTTCCGAGTAATTGAGCTTAATAAATCGATGTGTTTTTTCGATTTGCCCTTTTTACTTTGAAATTTTGTAACTAATGAATCAATGAATATTTAGAAAAGCTCACGTCAAAAATTTAATATTCTACAAAAGCATAACATTTTTGCCTAAATTTAATTCTTCAAAAATTATTCACGAAGAAGTATAAACCAGCCACAACTAAGAATAAGAAAATCTTTTTCTCTAAACATGTTGGTTGATACTGAAAAAGTGTGTTCTGACATAATCACGACAACTAGTGGAAAAGGACCGAAAACGAAAACAAAACTCGAACAAAACTTAGTTTGCTTGATGGAAACAAGAGTTTCGGGTTTGTTTCAGTTTTGTTTTTGATTTGCAAGTTTTTAAAAACACAAACAAAACCCAAACTCAACTGTTCGTTTAGTGGAAAACCGGCATTATACGCCCCTAAGTACCTACTATAAACATTTCCTGATATACCGGGTGTATCCGAGAATAGGCTCTCTAGATTGATCTTTATGATGATACATTTTCTGATGACGAAACGTCAAAAGGTCCATTTGAGGATGCTGTCTGACTCAGGATTTCAAATATGTAAAAATATATAGGGCATTCCATTTAAAAATCGAAAGTTGGAATCATTTCCGGCGAAACCATCATTTTCTACTCTTATAAGTGGCATTTTATATTCTAATTAACAATGCAATATTTCATGTGTGCGCCTATTCTCAGATACACCCGGTATATATATATATATATATATATTCCTAGAATATAATGTAAAACAACTTCGGGCCAATGTTGGGTTTTAATATTGTACCATGCTAGAAAAAATCTGACGAAAGATATATCTTTAATATATTTTGGCTCAATATCTTTGTGCTGCTAGGGTGGATGAGTGACCAATATGGCGACCCCCCAAGATGGCGGATTCTCGAGGTCAGGTAGATGTCATATATCTTGACTTTCAAAAGGCATTCTTCAAAAATTAAATAATGTCGGCTTTTCCAATAATCTTCTCAACTTATTTAGATCCTACCTACAGGGTAGATATCAGTTTGTCGAGTATGAAGGTTTTGAATCAGACTGTTATTTAGTATCGTCCGGTGTTCCTCAGGGGTCCAATCTTGGCCCATTATTATTTCTCCTCTTTATTAACGACCTTATATTTACCCTGCCCGATAATAAGTTGCTTTTTGCGGATGATCTTAAAATATATCAAACAGTATACGATTCGAATGATTGTTTCAGGATACAAAAAACCCTTGATTTGATTAATTCCTGGTGCATTCAATCTAAACTTATGTTAAATTTATCAAAATATTTAGTAGTAACATACACTAAGAAAAAACTGTATTCAGTTTAATTATTCCATTAATGACACTTTACTTGAGCGAAAGACTAAAGAAAAAGACCTGGGCATAACCTTTGATAACGAACTATCTTTTAACAACAATATAAATAACATAGTTGTTCAAACGTCTAAAACCTTAGGATTTATAGTTCGAAATTGTAAAGATTTTATAATAATACTATTTGTGCTTTGAAGCTTTTGTTTAACTGCCTAATTAGGTTTAGGCTCGAGTATGGTGTTTTAATTTGGTTTCCTTTTTATGCATGTCATGTCCAGCGTATCGAGGCTGTCCAGAGAAAGTATCTCGCTTATAAGGAGGATCGAATTTACCCTGAAAGAGGCATAGACAATAATTTCTTATTAAATAGATTCTCTCTGAATTCTTTGCAGGATCGCAGAAATAGAATTGCGTTAAATTTTATTTATAATCTATGTAACAATAAAATAGACTGTCCATTTGTATTAAGTTCTTTAAAATTCTTAGTGCCAAGATTTAACTCAAGAAACTCTCGTATATTATTGAATGTTTTTTTGTCAGATTTTAATTTATCTGATATGTTGTTCATTGTTTATTTTACTGTACTGTTAATAACATTTCCTGTAATTGGGTGTATTCCTGTTGGAAATAAATTATTATTATTATTATTATTATTATTTACAATTTCAATATGGCGGATGTAACTTACCAAGTAACTAAAAGCAAAAACTATTGATTTATTTTTTGTACAGATCACATCAATACCCAAGCGAAGCTCTCCAGAGTTACCACCGCAGCTCCGCGCATGAGAGTCCGGAGGAATCCAGTGCATCGGGCCGCCTCTCGATTGTACAGGGCCGGGAGCGAGGGCCCGCCGAGAATCCGGTGCCCCGACGCGACTCCGGCGAGAGACTGCGTCGGACCGGAGTTCGTGGTCAGGGCGTCTCTCCCCAGCAAACATCTCACGATGCCGGACTCCAAAGGACCGAAGAAAACCGTCACCGTCATCATGCTGAACGGGCAAAAGTTGGACGTCCTCTGTAACCTCAACACGACCACTGCTGGACAACTGTTTGAGGTTAGTATTGCGGTTTTAATGGCGGTTTTCTTTTGAGGTTGCGACGCTTAAATTTAATTACTTTTGTCCTTTTTTTAATTCGAATTTAATTCCATTTATTTCCATGACTCTAAGTGACCTTTTAAATACACATTGACAAGGCTGAAGTTGGCAACAGGTTTTTAATCACCGGTTGAAGTTAGCTTTAAATTAGTTGACAGTTGTCAATAGGGTATTTCCATTGTAACGGGTGCGACACTAAAACTGCGTTTTTTTCATGATAATAAAGTATTTGTTCATATATATCAAGATACGTTAATATAAAAAAATAGTATAAAAAATTAGGTATTTACCTCAAACAAAATGTCAATAAAAACTTGTATAGAAAACCTTTTATAATAATAATAATAATTTATTTATTGCCAACAGTTTTCACAATAAAGGACATTCAAATAACAAAATTACAGTAGATACAAAAACAATTAATATACATAAAATAAAGTGCTCTTTTAGTTCCACCCTTACTTCTTAAGAAGTCCCATAAGCCAACTTTGAATAAAATAAATAAATAATAAAATTAATATACTTAATTAAAGTGGTGTTTAAAAAAAGTAGACAACAGATAAAAAAAACCTCAAATATATAATAAAAAAAGAAAATTATTGATAAATATAATAATTAAATGGTTAAAAACATTGTAGTATACTCCTCAGAGTAGAAAAATTAATATCACAAAGACTTGCTACTTTATTAAAAGTTAGGGACATTTTATATATCGGCGACCTTACTAACATGTTGGTACGTGCCTTGGACACTTAAATACTAATGTTTATTATTACATTTATTAGGTCTTGGTACATAAAAATTTAACTGTCCCAGTAAGTCACTACAGTCTATAACATTATGAATTAATTTAAATAAAAAGGTTATGCAGATTTTATCCCTTCTTACACTTAAAGAATCAAAATTAAAGGTATCAAGCAGTACCAAATGATCAAAACCCTGAGGGGGATATACTCCAAACGTTTTGTAACTTAAAAATTTTAGAAATTTACTGATTCAATTGATTGAATGTGGCACAGGTAAATTGGCGACCAAACAATCGAGGCGTACTCCAACTTGCTGCGTACCAATGCATGAAACAACTGCTCAAGGCTCTCAGGTTTAGAAAAGGTTTTGCAATTTCGGATTATAAATCCTAATGTTTTATATGCTGATTTTGTAGTGATAGCGATATGTTCGGTAAAAGTGAGATGCGTGTCAAAATAAACTCCCAAATCCTTCATTACTCCAAGCTGACCTCATTTATTTTGTAATTAAAAATAACTGGATTTACTTTTTTAGTGTATCTGCCTATTTTACATTTCGATATGTTTAAAGTTAATCTGTTTGTTTTACACCATTGACCTAAAATATTAAGATCATCTTGGAGATTGAGACAGTCATTTATAGTAATGACTGGAGAGAATATTTTGAGGTCATCAGTATATAAAAGCTTCAAAGAGTTTAGTTTTGGGGGCAAATAATTGATAAAGATCAAAAACAGCAAGGGACCTAAATTGGATCCTTGTGGAGCGCCAGAACTGGACACAAAGTGTTGCGAATTAAAGTTATTATATGAAACAAATTGGGTCAGAATTTCTCAAACGGGCCACCTGAATTAGGTCAAAATTAGTTTTTGTTTGTAGATACATTTTTTTGATAGTATTTTACATCACTAACACAAATCCTAAAGGATTTTGTAAAAAAAAAAATTTCAATTGACATATTCATGATATTAAAAGTCAAAGTTTTTAATAATTAAAAAATAAAAAAATTCATTATGGCTGAACTAATTATCCGATTCCAACGATATAACTAGCGTTGGAATCTTGTTTTGACATAGATTCTTTGTTATTTTTTTCAATTGTCCTATTTTCATTTAGGTCGATTTTTTTTTGTTTTTTTTATACCAAATTCGGAAATAATTGCCTTCTGCGCCAGCTATCGACTCGAGAAAAAAAACACATATACTCCAATCATTTCTCGAAATTATGCTGCTGAGAAAAAAAATGGCCCGCAGGTTGACAAAAAGTTATTCGTCCTTTTGTGGCCGCGCGCGGTGTCAGCTCACGCTCCGAACCGTGTACGCTGTACGCGCTTGTGACGCGATGTCTTACGGTGGTCTGGAACCTGCGGGCCATTTTTTTTCTCAGCAGCATAATTTCGAAAAATGATTGGAGTATATGTGTTTTTTTTTTCGAGTCGATAGCTGGCGCAGAAGCCAATTATTTCCGAATTTGTTATAAAAAAACAAAAAAAAATCGACCTAAATGAAAATTTTACAATTGAAAAAAATAACAAAGAATCTATGTCAAAACAAGATTCCAACGCTAGTTAAATCGTTGGAATCGGATAATTAGTTTAGCCATAATGATTTTTTTTTATTTTTTAATTACTAAAAACTTTTACTTTTAATATCATGAATATGTCAATTGAAAATTTTTTTTTACAAAATCCTTTAGGATTTGTGTTAGTGATGTAAAATACTATCGAAAAAATGTATCTACAATCAAAAACTAATTTTGACCTTGAATTAGGTGGCCCGTTTGAGAAATTCTGACCCAATTGTTTCCTGTCTATTAAATAGGACTGAAAGAGTTCCAGAAGAAAGCTATCTAAACCAAAGCTTCTTAGTTTCTGTAACAATATTTAGTGATCAATCTGATCAAATGCTTTCTGGTAGTCAGTGTATATAACGTCGAGTTGAGAACCTTTATCCATTGTTTCACAAGCATATTGTGTAAATGAAGCCAAGTTGGTTATCGTGGATTTTTTCTCAACAAAAGTTGAAAAGGAGAAATAAAAATTTTCAGTTGACAATATAAAAAAGTTAGTTAGTTAGTTTGGACTAAATTATCATTTCAAATATTTTAGCGAAGTTACAAAGTATAGAAATTGGTCGATAATTTGTTATACAAGATGGGTTTCCTTTTTTAACACAGGTACAATTCTTGAAATTTTCTATATGTTCGGAAAGGTTTGACATTTAATTATTTTGTTAAAGATTAGTAAAAGAGGTGAAACAAAGGCACCACAGCAATCCTTTACAAGAAAGCTGGGTATGTTATCTACCCCAGCAGTCATTTTGTTATTAAGTCTCTTAACACAACCAATTATATCACTTTCATTTATACAATCCAATGTAACGTGGCTAAAACATAAATCTGAATTCACATTAGCCAAAGGAATTGATTCTATGTGTACACTTTTAAAAAAGTCGGCAAAGCCATTTACTATATAATTAGGAGTTTAAAAATCTTTATCATTGTAGCTTACCCTTCCCGGAATACGCGAAAATCCTTTTTTTGATTTAATATAGGACCATAATGATTTCGGTTCATTTTTTAAATTGGGTTCAATTTTATTTATATATTTCTTATAAGATGTTTTTATCTGTTTTTTTACTAATGTTCGCGTGTTTTTGTATAAGTAATTATACAAACAGCATACAGCATACATGAACAGCGTAATCGGCAAATGCGACCAAGTTGGCTTCTAAAGTTGATACTATAAAATTTTGGATGAAAGGATAATGTAATAATTTTTTGTGTAAAACTTGAATAGTAACCTTAAACAAGCACGTATTTTAAATGCACAAAAAATGCATACTTTATTTTCTAAAAAAAATTCAAAATGTAAGGGGTGCGACATTTGAACATTTTATCGAGTATTGAAACTCTTCCGAATTTATTCTTGCCTCCTAGCATCACAATGTACGAATATTTTAAGATTATAAATTACGTGGCAATTAAACTATTTGACTTCAGATATAGTTGTTATTTTGTTAAATAACACATCTGATTTTTTGTCAAGGTGGGGTAAGGTTTTGTGAAAATACCAATAGTCAAAATAAAGTATCCTTCTTGTAAAATAATACTAAATGTAAAAATTATTTTATTATTTCAATACAAAATTAAAAATAGTACTAAATGTAAAAATTATTTTATTATTTCAATACAAAATTAAAAATAGTTTCTTGACGCTAATTTTGAAAAGTTTATATGCACGTTGTATTACTAGTATTAATAATTTCGGGTGAAGTTGTTCGATTCTTACATGAAAACAAACTGACACTGACATTTTAAAAACCGGTAAAACAGTTTTCTTACTCTGTTTTTGTATAGATGTCGCTCTTTCCAAATATCTAAATTAATAAGTAAAAAATATTTTTCATACGAGTGCTCGTAGGTACCTAATTAAAATTAATTACTAAAATGGCTTTTACCGAACTTGATACATAATACACTATTAAATTAAAGTTCATATTTTAAGAAATTGTTTTATGTCATTTAATACTTGGTATAAAAGATTCTTTTGTTAAAAATGACTTGAGCTAAAATTTAGGTCACATTAATTTTCCATATAAATGTCAGTGAAGTAGGTACATAAAACAAGAGTAAAGTCGCTGAGGCTGCTGACATCTAAAGAAAAACATTTATTAAATTATTTTTCAAACAATACGAAATTTAATATTTTAATGTAAAATAATGTAATAAATAATAAACTTTGAAATATCTCAGTTAGTATACATTTTACGAAAAAATGTTTAAAATAAAAATTAAATGATTCGAGGGGGGAAATCAATTCTAAAATTGGTCCTCATACTCTCCTCCTTATAGGGGGAACAGGGGTAACTTTAAAATGTCCAATGGAACATCCTATTTTTTATTGCAGATTAGGATCATTAGACTAAAAATAGGTAGATTTTGTCTAAAACATTTTTTCATATTTGTAATAGATGGCGCTGTAATTAAAAAAAATCAATTTTGTTCGATTTTTCTTTGTACCATATTTTGACCAAATTTGACCATTCTGTATACAATTTTATTACAAAATTATCGTTTTAGGGGATTTTAGGTATGCCAAATTAAGAAACCCTTTCCGTTTTAAAATTTAAAAAATTCCTATTAACTTTTGGACTTGGACTATTAATCATAGAAAGCCATGGAAATGACATAATATAATGAGAATTATTTTTCTTCCAAAGACATTTTTTTTAAATCGGAATATTTTGAAATAAATACCGAGTTGACGCCTATCAAAATGAAACACACTGTATAACGTAAATGTACTTTTTAAACATTATTTAACATTTCTTAAAGTTACGTCGATTATTTTTTTTCTTCAATTAAATAATATTATAAAATTAAAAAATATATAATAAGTGGGTTTTTAAACATTTAATATTATTTCAAGGACCAAAATCCATAATAATTAAGTAATTATCAGAGGTGTAATTTAAATTCAAATTAGTATGGGTCCCCCTTCCAAAAACAGATAATTTTAGACAAAAGTTAGTTTTTTAATGTCATTTGTGAACTAAAATAAAACAATCATATTTTTATTTTAACATACTAATGAGAAAATTTTAATGAACTTTATAATTAATAAATGTCTAAGTTTAACAAAACATTTTAATAATTAAATTAATGTAATTATTTTAAATTTTTATATTTTAAAACATACACTAGTTAATGTAAATATTGTTTTTTTTTCGATGTATAAATTAAAAAAGTTATTTTTATAGGAACTTTTTAAACTTGAAATTAAGAATTTTTATTTTTAAGTTTAAATATATTGAGCTGAAAATAAACTGTTTTTAAAAAACAAAAAACCCTGCAGTATAAATACAAACAAAGTTGTTCTACTAAAGCTTGAAATTGTAACCCGAGGCTACAGGGTATCCTGCCATCTATTTTTCAAATAAGCAGGCTAGGCCGTTAACAATGCACGTTTTCCTTTTGCACGAATTTATTGATCCATTAAGTTACCTCCAAATTGAAAAAGATGTCACCAGGATATTTGTATTTATGTTTGAACTTTGACACTGTTCATTATATTGGATATGTTTATTCGGTACCTAGTATTAATGGATTCTCCTGTTTAGATATACACTGCCCGTCAAAATTAACGCATAATAAGTAAAAAAATTCTAGCTCTAAAACGCCTTTACCAATCTTTATGAAAATTTATGTAAAAATTCTTTAACTTATATCTCAGTTTACATGTTTGAGGGTTTTTTGAGAAAATATTTTTAAAGCCCTTTTATTTAATAATAAAAAAACGTTCGAAAAATAACTTTAAGGGAATTTTTTTTAAGTAATTAAAAAATATGATGTTAAAGACCGTATTTTTGTTAGTATACCCTGAAAATGTTGTACAAATCAAACGAACAGTAACGAAGATACAGCGCTTCAAAGTCGGTAAAAATAACCCCTTTTTGGTTATTTTACTGAAAAGTGGTCATTTTTGACCACTTTGAAGCGCTGTATTTCGATACTCTTCGTTTGATTTATACAAAATTTTCATGGTATACTAACATCATATTTTTTAATTTCTTAAAAAAAATTCCCTAAAAGTTATTTTTCGAACGTTTTTTTATTATTAAATAAAAGGGCTTTAAAAATATTTTCTCGAAAAACCCTCAAACATGTAAACTGAGATATAAGTTAAAGTATTTTTACACAAATTTTCATAAAGATTGGTAGAATTTTTTTACCTATTATGCGTTAATTTTGACGGGCAGTGTATTTACCATTCATTAACGAAGTTTATGTAGGTATTTACAGCATTGTTAATATAGTCGTCCATTATAATGGGCGACCACTAAATCTAGATGTTATAGAATTAAAAAAATATATTTAATACTTATTTTTTGGATTACCCTAGGTAATATCTATAAACTTATTTTATTGTATAATTGGTTGCATATTAACTTTCCCTAGCGTAAATATTTGACATCTGGAAACATACCTCTAAATGTGAAAACTAACTATAAAGTGACGTCACAAAATCAGAGATTTTGGGTGGCATTAACTTTGTTATTTCAAATATAACACCCCATATATTTTTACATTTTTAAATTCTGTATAAAAGTGTGAGTACAATTTTTCGCGTTATTAATTTTTTTTCGTTAAAATTTGACGTTTATTCTATACTTTTAATTTTGTTTTGTACAATCTTGTGCTTTTTGAAATGTTTATACATTATGTGTTTGACTCGTCCTATAAATACTATTGTATTTCGTTTGGATCAATAAAGATTTTTATTATTGTTATTAATTATAAATAGCCTAAAACTTTTTTGTTATTAGGTTTACGAATATGGCGGTAGAATTTTTGGAATCTTAACACATTGTTTAAAATATTTCATGTCAATTATTTAACATTTTTTAAACCTGAGAAAACCCAGTTCAAATTAGTACAATAATCCTTTAAATAAAGGATTTAATGCTGGAAGGTAAAAAGTGACCATGGTGCGCAATTAATAATTATCACCGAATGAAATAATGTATAAAACTTAAACCAAACGAAACTTAAATATTAGTTCAAAAATCGTGGGAACTTAAAAAAAATCAGATTTAATTTAATAAGATAATTATTACCAAAAAAAACCAATATTTTTTTAGAAAAATTATTGCAGAATCGTATGCAGAAGAAAAATCGAACAAAATTGATTTTTTTTTATTACAGCGTCATCTATTACAAATATGAAAAAATGTTTTAGACAAAATCTACCTATTTTTAGTCGAATGATTCGAATCTGCAATAAAAAATAGGGTGTTCCATTGGAAATTTAAAAGTTAAAGTAGAAACCACGAATATATGAACGTGACTCATCAGGCACAATCGTACGAAGTAATCTATCGAAGGTCACGGTCCAGTGCAGTGCTGTTCTAACGGGGGCATAAATATTTGTAAAAAATCTTAAGTGTAATGTTGGTTGCTATACTTCTGATATATTTGCTTTTAAAGTTAAATTTTAATAATTAACATCTACGATAATTAAATAAGATGTAATTTTCTTAGAAACTAATTAATAAATAAACTTTTCTTTTAACTTAAAACGCAAATATTTCAGAATTGGTGACAAAAAACAAAAACGTTTACGCAGGTCAGGTACAAAGTGAAAGATAATTAAATTGTGTGGATATAAAAACAACTTGCGTTAGTTTCACGAAATTTATTAAATATTGATAATTGTTTCGCTACACAGTAGCTTCTTCAGAATGTATTAAACTAATACTAGCTAGTACAAAATTTATATAATAAAAATATTTTTGAATTCTAGCCTAGAATTTCTAGGTAAGGATTTTTATACGACATCTACCTGTGTTACATAATATAAACCACTGCCACTACAACGTTTAAAATGATTATTAATCCGTAAACACACACCGTTTATTTAAAGTCTAAAAAAGTACAATAACAATTGCAATAAAGTCCAATAAACATGCAATAACAATTGCAATAAAAACCACTAGCACTACAACGTTTAAAACGATTATTAATCCGTAAACACACAGCAGAAACACGATATGCAAAAACAAAGATCATATGACATATAAAAACAAATGGCCGACGGTAGAGTTGGTTGCCTTACTATGTAATGAAATAAAATAAATTGCCTAAAACACGAACTCTACTGAATTCCAACAAAATTAAGTAATAAGCTAGGACACGCGTCATATGTCCATCTTTGTCGAACACCTAGGCAGTGTAAAGTGAGATCACATCACAGATGGCGCATTTTAGAGCGGATGCTTAAAAACCTACGTGTGAGTACATTTACCGCTGCATCGAATGTACAAGTCAAGTAAAACATTACTGCTAGCATGTCTGAGATATGTTCGGCACCCGATGAGTCACGTTCATATATTGGTGGTTTCTACTGTACCTCCTGTTAACCCTATAACTCCCTCAAATTATTTAATTTTTTTTTTAAACATTTTTTCGTAAAATGCATACTAAATGAGATATTTCAAAGTTTCAAGTTAAATATGACTCACCCTGTATAAGACCTATTCAGAGATATTTTTGTCGTAAACGTATGCTCGAAGCACAGAACTTTGGTGTACCTAAACGCTTCTCCAATATCAATGTTTACAGATGATTGTGCAAAAAGAACAAGTAGAGGAAAACTTCATGCTGGGCCTGTCGGCTCTTATAGCCGGCGATTTCGTATTTTTACCCTCGGACACCAGAATCTACAAGGCGTTCCGCCACGAGCCGATGCAAGCGGCCTCGCTGACGCTCTTCATGCGCGTTCGCTTCTTCTTACCGAGCCTCAGAGGCGTGAGAGGCGTGCAAGCGCGACACCTGCTCTATTTGCAGCTGAGGAGGTCCATACTCGAGCACCAGCTGCCCTGCTCCTTCACGCAGCTCATCGAGCTCAACGGTCTGGCGCTACAGGCCGAGTTTGCGGACTATAACGAAAGGGTAAGTCGTGTTTTTCACTGTGCCTTTTTATGAGTTTATGAGCATGCCCCAATTTGATATTTTGTACTTCAATAGGAATTTTAATGTGGCATCCCAATAAACATTTTTGTTTTTTATAGTGATTTTCATAAATTATAAAACCTAAATTTCTTAATTTGGTTACAGAAATATTTACATCACTCTTATATACCCCTTAAAGAGCTTATTTGGGGAGTTTATGAAGGTTATCGGTACCTATTTTAGTAACACTATAAAACCCGAGTTTTATAATTAGACATAACAGGAATATTATGGAAACCACTATATGTATAACTTCCTTAAAAATTGCTACTGGCTTTTTCCTTTTTTTAATATTTCTCTCTCCCACAGACACATTTAAAATATATATTTCTTCATAGGTACTCTATCTTTCTTATTGTCATCTTATTCATTAACTTGTTTAAACCACATGACTAATTTGAGAAACCAAGTATGGCGAAAATATTAATGGTATATAATTTAATTTTAAGATTTTTTACTCAATACGACTTAAAGTGCAAAGTAACTTTTATTGTAAATATATTATAATATAATATATATTATATATTATATTATATATATTATATTATATATTGTGCCAAATATTTTCTTTTTAACAATTTTTAATTAAAATTATGAAAAAGCATTGCGTCGAAAGCTAATACTTTGCCTAATTTCTGTTTCAATTACTAAACATTTTTGGTTATTAAGCACATAAATTAATAACTCAAAATTTGTATTTAAATAAATTAAAGACACAATAGTTTTATAAAACAGGTAACTGCAAACTTTATAAACCTTCTTGTAACGGTTACTAAAGGTTATATAAAATGTTTGTAGAAACAATTATATAACATAATTGTATACCTAGAGTTTACAGTAACCTTATATGGCCATTATAAAACTCAGTGGTGGCTGGTGGATTTTGGAACACCCATATCTCAGTTATTAGACACGGGACCCACAACAAATTTATATGAGTTTACAATGACATTATACAGGGTGTTTCATAATATATGCGCAGGACTTCAGGATGTGATAGCTCATCCAAAAAGATGAAAAAAGTCGCTATTAAGTTACGCTCTAAAATGCACAATTTTCGAGATACAGGGTGTTGAAATTTTAGAAAAAAATTCGTTTTTTTCGAATATCTCCGGAACCGTTTATCGTACAAAAAACAGCTTTTGTAAGCATTTTCTACTCAAAATAAGCTATGTTTTGTGCTAGAAAAAAAATTTTTTTCCTCATAATTGGTGGAGATTTTGAAGGGGTAGCTGGTGTTTTTCTCCTCAACTTCTACGCCCCTGAAAAAAGTACGGTTTTGAGAGGCCCATTCGAACCGCCAATGTTTTCTACCCAAAAAAGGTACTCCTGGTCATAAGCTCTAAAGTTGACCGTTTTCGAGAAAAATCAACTTTTATGTTTAAAAACATGGTCAATTTAAAAAAAAAATATTTTTTTTTTACTAATTAAACAAAATTTATTTTAACGTTAGGACAAGTAACAAAACCAAACCATAATTGCAAGATAAAAAATGATTTAAAAGTTGTATTTGCTTAATTCTCCAAACCGTAAAGGTAACGCATTTCGCACATTTCAGCATTTGAGTAAAAAATCATTTTTTATTTTTTTTTTTAATTTTGCAATTATCGTTTGGTTTTGTTACTTTTTCTAACGTTAAAATAAATTTTGTTTAATTAGTAATAAAAATTTTTTTTCAAAAAATTGACCATGTTTTTAAACATAAAAGTTGATTTTTTTCGAAAACGGTCAACTTTAGAGCTTATGACCAAGAGTACCTTTTTTCTGTGGAAAACATTGGCGGTTCGAATGGGCTTCTCAAAACCGTACTTTTTTCAGGGGCGTTGAAGTTGAGGAGAAAAACACCCGCTACCCCTTCAAAATCTCCACCAATTATGAGTAAAAAAAATTTTTTTCTGGCACAAAACATAGCTTATTATGAGTAGAAAATGCTTACAAAAGCTGTTTTTTGTACGATAAACGGTTCCAGAGATAATCTAAAAAAACGATTTTTTTTTCTAAAATTTCAACACCCTGTATCTCGAAAATTGTGCATTTTAGAGGGTAAGTTAATAGCGACTTTTTTCATCTTTTTGGATGAGCTATCACATCCTGAAGTCCTGCGCATATATTATGAAACACCCTATAGACAAGTTCTGCGCAAGCAGAATTTAAATTGAAGTTTGCGAAAAAAGTTAGTTTTTAAGTGTGCCCCCCAGCCTCCTGCTCCCCCAAATTAAGATAATTCAAATTAAAGTGGTACAATATTTAATTCACTGCAGTTTATCGATAAATTTCAAATTTTATTAAAAAATTTCAAGAATTACAGGTTTTATACCATTTTAAATTTTTATTATTTCTTTAACTAAATTTAAAAAAAAATAGAAATGGTATAAAATCTGTTATACTTGAATTTTTTTAATAAAATTTGAAATTTGTCGATAAACTTCAGTAAATTAAATATTGTACCACTTTAATTTGAAGTACCTTGATTTGGGGGGCAGGAGGCTGGGGGCACACTTAAAAACTAACTTTTTTTCGCAAACTTCAATTTGAATTCTGCTTGCGCAGAACTTGTCGTCTATATAATGTCATTATAAACTCATATAAATTTGATGTGGGTCTAATAACTGAGATATAGGTGTGCCCAAAATCCACCAGCCGCCACTTTTATTAAAACTAGTGAAATAAATGGCGATTTTTTAAAACCTTGTTAAACTCTTATATAATTTGACAACTCTTATATAACCTTTATATAATTTATCATTACCATAAGTAGTACAAATTGGTTATTGTAATATTCTATAATTGAGGGTTTTAAAAAACGTGTGTACTTGGCCGGGAAGTATTTTGGTCCAACCTTGGAGTTCGTATGCTACTTTGGTGTCTTCAAGAATTTCTTTACTTTAATTACCAAAAAATGGTAATTGTAATTAATTTTTAAATTACTAAAAGAAGTAATTGTAATTGATAATTGATTTCAACAATTCTTAGGTAATTCAATTATTTTCAGAGTAATTGAATTACTAACAAGTAAGCAATCGAATTACTTTTGGTAATTTATTTACTTGAAACTAATTAGTAAATTATTTATTTTTAATTCAATTACCCAATAATTTTGCTTGTCCAAAACAATTTTGTAATAATGAATAATTTTTAAAAAGTCTAGAATCTAGAGAAGTATTTTTGCAAGGACTTGAAGATACTTTTTTTGAATTAGATATTAAAGCTTCTCAGAGACAGGTTGAAATATGTGAACAAAAACATTAAAAAGAATATTGAGTTAGAGATTTTGCAGCATCTTAATGATCCATCATTAGAATTTGAATCGTTGAATGTATATTCGTTTATAAAAAAAACTTTTCTTTATATTTAATACATCTTAACGGCCTTTTGATGAAATAATAAATAACCCTAGAAGGCATACGGTTCAGAAAATATCGGGAATTTTCGTTTTTTGAAACAAACATTTATTTATTCGTCTACATTAATGTTGTCGCCTTCTAAATAGTCCCCATTGGATATTATGCACATGTGCCAGTTCTTCTTCCAATACTCGAAACACTTCTAAAACTCGATCTTTGGGATAGCCTTTAGTTCTTTCAGCGATGCGCTTTTAATGTCATCTATGCTTGCAAAACGACGGCCCTTCTCTTTATTTTTGGGAATAGGAAAAAGTCAGACAGAGGCATGTCTGGCGAATATGGAGGCTGGGGCATCATTACAGTATTGTTTTTGGCCAAAAATTTTGTTCAAAATTTAACAATTTTAGAACAAATTTTGCTGCCACGCGTTTCATACCCAAAACATTCGAAAAAATTTCATAGGATGAGCCATTCGATATACCAACATCATCAGCGACTTCTCTGATGGTTTATAACCATTTCTTCCACTTTTTCCATGTTTTTATCGGTTGTTAATGTGCTTGTGCTTTCGGGGCGTTCGTCATCTTCAACGTCTTCACGGCCATCTTGGAAACTCTTATACCACTTGTAAACTCTTGTTTTACTTATAGCAGACTCACTATTATAGGCCTTTGTTAACATTTCACAGAATTTATTTCATTTTTTAAGCAAAATTGGATACAAATTCTTTGATCCATTTCTTTTAACGAACGAAAAATCGCCGAGCTCATAAAACACGTCTAACCTTAGCGGCTGCCACAGACAAAGTAAACAATGAAAACAGCTAAAGTTTTTAACATACTTCGGGGGCATGTATACCAACATAATAAAGAAAATTGTATGACAACCGGACTCTCTGAACCCGCGAAATTTAACAATTCCCGTTATTTTCTGAACACACCTCCTATGCTCTTTCGGATAAACATTTTAAAGAGCTAGTTATCCTAAAGCCAAATTAAAAAAATTATAATATTTTTTAAGTTTTGTTTTTTATTTGCTGGACTATTAAATTTGTGTTTTTTTTTTTAATTAAATAAAGTTATCTAAACTTACTATAAAGTAAATGCTATATAATTTTAAAATGATTCAATTTCTAAAAAGTAATGGCATTACTAAAAAGTAATTCAATTACTAAAAAGTAATTCAATTACTAAAAAGTAATTCAATTAATTAAAAGTAATTCAATTATTTATTGCCTCTATTATTATAATTGAAGTAAATTTGTTAATGTATGGTAATTGGTAATTTATATCTTTGTACAAAATACCTAATTGATAATTGTAATTCAATTACTTTTTAAGAGTAATTGCGAAAGCTCTGAATGTAACAAAGTACTAAAAATCTAATGATTGAGAAACTTATCATAACAACCAACTCTATGAAATGTTAATAAATGGCCCAACCAATCCTTTAATTTTCTCTAAAAAATCCGACTCAAAATGAAAAAATGCTATGCCAAAACAATGCAATCCTTTTTCACTGCCCTTTTTCTTCAACTCTGTGTTTGCAGTTTGTTTTTTTATTTGTTGGTGTATTTTTCAGGAGCATGGCACCCGAGATTACTTCCTAATAGAGCATTATGTGCCTGAAACGATGTCGAGCATAATACAGGACTCGAAACGCTTAAGGCAGGAATTAATAAAGGCGCACATTTCAAAGACTGGGCTGGACATTGAAAAAGCCGAGCAAGACTTTATTATTGTTGCGCAAAGTCTGCCACAATACGGGGGCCATTTTTACACCGCTTTATGGGTAAGTCAAATTTAAATTTTTCAGCTGTTTCGGTATCCAATTAAAATCCATATTGGTAAGGCCATTTTATCTATGGTGTAAGTAATTGGTAACTTGTTTTGAGAGAGCCAAACTACTTTAAACAACAGTTGAACTATATTATCAAATTAACATACTTTTTGCAGATGTTGAAGGACAACAATAAGGATGTTTGGCTGTATATCAGCTCGCAGGGTATAAATTTGTATGAACGGGGTCCTTCGACGAGCAACTGCGGCCCATTGTTGTACGAGAAATTTGAGTGGAGGAGCATTCAAACTTTGTGCTATAGCAAACATTACTTGTGCATTATACCGCATAGCACTACGATGCAGGCGGCCAGGCTAAAAAAGTACAAGCTTAAAATGGACCACAAAAAGTAAGTTTTTATTTATTTTTTTCCTTTACTTTCTATACGTTCTTTTTTGCTTTTTTGTTTTCTTCGTTCTTTTTTTTTTAATTCTTAGACGTTGCCAATCCCTGAACTTGGGAATCTTTAATTTCCAAAATCTTTAGAAGTCATCTTGCATTATTTAGCAGTGCTGGCAAATTTATATCTACTTTTGCTTTTTTATTTTTTTTTCAAAAATTCACAAAACCTAGGAATTTTTTTGAGATGTTGCCAAGTTTCCAAAAATTATCAGAATCTGGGAATTTATGCGACGTTGACAAATTTCCAAAAATCCAATCTTGTTTTTTTGCGGTGTTGCAATATCCTTAGGATACCAGTTTCCGAAATCTTTAGGTTATCTTCAGTAAGTCATCTTGCACTATTTAGCGGTGTTGGCAAATTTATATCTACTTTGTTTGCTTTTTTTGTTTATATTTTTTTTATTTCCAAAACCTTTTTTGTGAGGCGTTACGAAGTAAAGCGGTTTTGCAAAAATTCTAATAAAATCCCTTAGGCTAGTTTCAGTAAAGCCTAAATTATAGATTGCCTTCCTTCCTTCCTCCCGTAGTCGTGCCCGTACGATTTGTGCGTCTTGTAAAAAGTCAATTTATAGATTTCCGTGTAAAATTCCGTAACCATGCGCGATGACACCTAAAATGGTTGACATTTATTTTTGTTTAAATTTTGCGTTTTACCCTTTTTGTGTAAATATGAAAGATAATCATTTATATATTAGTGCAGTAATCACAATTTTAATTGCCCAGGCAGCTTGTTGTATACTGCCCCACTATCGAGAAAGGCAGTAACTGCTAGACAAGAAATTTGTGGGAAATTAGCAAAAACTACATTTTTATAAAAAGCAGTAGGTATTTAACTGATTTATTTAACTTAAAAGATAGTTTACTGCATTTCTTTGTTGAATTAAGATACAAAATGTCCATAGCTTTATCATAGCACAAGAAAACGCATTTGTAGTTACTGCCTTTCTTCATAGTAGGGCAGTATAATGAAAAAAAACATCGAACAAGACGTTGGACCGGGAAACTACGGGGTTTTACAAAGCAACGTTTCTAAAAATGAAAGACATTGATCATAAACAATATCTAAATATCCTATTTAGAGACACAAATTATTTAATAAACTGAACACCTACCTTAAATAATACTAAACAATCATGTATTTTAAATATTTTGTGTCTACGCGCTGTCACCCTACAGCGCATGTCCATAACAAGCACTGTGATTGGTCATGTCAAAGACCTTTACGGTGAAAGATAAAACTTAAAAATTTCTACGGGAGGAAGGAATGCCGTCCTTACGATACGGAAATGTATAACTGGCACTACGATTTAAATAAACATTTTTGACGTAATTGTCACCATTAACATTGCCCGTTATTAATTTTAATTATACTTAACAATTATTGATACTTTAAAATATTAAAATAACTTCAAAATATGATTTTGTTAAGAAAATATTTTCTCTACGACTACTTAAGAATAGTAACATTCTAGTGTAATTTTTGATCATAGAAAGCATGTTTCTCGATTTTTATGTAAGAATGTCATATTCTCGCACGCAAAATCGTTGAAGAATGAAGCTCATTCTTAAACGATTTTTGGTAACATTTAGTTTTTAAGTATTGGTACCCCCAAAATGTCAAACTGATTAATAACCTCAAATTCATTACTTTTATTGAAAATGAAGCCTTTATTATTGTTTTGTAATATTAAGTTTGCTCCAACAATGCATTTTAATGCAAAATTTTAAGTTTAATGTAAAAAAGTGCAGTTCAGGTTGTACTTGTGCAGGATAACAAATATTGTCATTTTGTGTTGCCAACTGCCATTTTGCGAGAAAAATCCCCTAATTAACAACGACCACAAAACAATTAAAAAAACCTAAATAAAAGTTAAAATCGAGAAAATAGTATAAATCACACGTTGCAGAAGGCTATTCTCGCACTCATTCGTTCGTCCACTCGCTCCTTCGTCGCTCGAGGCCAAATTTCGAATTCGTGCGAGAATATGTGGCCTTCTGCAACTTGTACTTTAATATACTATTTTCTGCAATACTGTGCGAGAATATTCCTACTCTTGTTTAAGAATGGTCACAAGTAACGACATCTCCTGGCTGTTTACTAAACGTAAAAATTTTTAAAATATTTAATTATTACTGTATTATTTATTAATTAAAAAATAATAGCAGTTGTATAATTAAGGTTTAGGCACAAAAAATTAGTTATATTTATTGTTTTTCAAATATACAAATCAGAATTATAATAAATTTGATATTAAAATGATAAACCAGTTACCTACTATACCGGCTTTGAAGTTTTGACAGATTCAAAAAGTTTAAAAAAAAGACCTTTAAAATGTAGAAAAAGAATACTGCCTTACTATGGAGAACTGCTAAACAAGAAATTTGTGAAAAATTAGCATAAACTACATTTTTATAAAAAGCAGTACGTATTTAATTTATTTTTTTAACTTATGAGATATTTGACTGCATTTCTGTGTTGAATTTGGTTACAAAATGTCCATAGCTTTCCATTAGTTTTGTATTTGTTACAATGTTATTTTTTTTATTAGTTAGTGTAAATAACTATTTTTAATTATAATAAAGATTTAGGCATACCATTTGTTTAAATTTATTATAATTTACATTATAAAATTGTGACGGCACAAAATGGTTTGACAATACAAAAACTGCTTGGTTTCTTTTCTCTGTTTAAAATTATATAAGCGTTACTATTCTTACGTAGTCGTAGAGAAAATAATGTCTGAAACACGTTTGGAATAGCATATTCCACTCTCGTAAAACCGTCACACTCGCCTTCGGCTCGTGTGTCAAATTTTTCCTCGAGCGGAATATGCTGTATTCCAAACTTGTTACAGAATGTACTATTCTCGATTTTTATGTAAGAATGTCATATTCTCGCACGCAAAATCGTTGAAGAATGAAGCTCATTCTTAAACGATTTTTGGTAACATTTAGTTTTTAAGTATTGGTACCCCCAAAATGTCAAACTGTTTAATAACCTCAAATTCATTACTTTTAGGATTATTTATAATAGCTTTGTTTGTTATCCTGCACTAGTGCAACCTGAACTACACTTTTATTGAAAATGAAGCCTTTATTATTGTTTTGTTATATTAGGTTTGCTCCAACAATGCATTTTAATGCAAAATTTTAAGTTTAATGTGAAAAAGTGCAGTTCAGGTTGTACTTGTGCAGGATAACAAATATTGACAAATAAATGAGCCAAACAGGTAAATCAAACTATATTTTATTGGAAATATTATATACCCACAGTACACAAAACACAAAACTACTATAAATTAATCATCAGCACAATTGTTATAAACTTTTATTGTAATGTTCGGTGTTGCTTGTAAAACCTCCTGTGACATTTTTCACTGCTAAAAGTAAACACAATTGTTCAAAAATATCAGAAAACATTAAAAAATAATACAATACTTACACAAAACCTTATTATCCAGTTGACAAATACAGACAGATTATTAATAAATCGTCACCTGAGAATTATAGTGTTCTATCTGCATTTTCTTTTTTTTATTCAGGTTAGTCTTATTTTAAGTATTAAAGATGCATATTGTTCTATCTATATATAATTGGGGTAGAAATTGTACAGTTTAAGCCTTAAACTTTACAATTTCTACCCCAATTATATATAGATAGATCAATATCATCTTTAAGACTTAAAACAAGACTAACCTGAATAAAAAAAAGAAAATGCAGATAGAACACTATAATTCTCAGGTGACGAAATAGTAAATAAAAATAAATCTACCTGTCCATGCAACTGTCATTTTGTGTTGCCAACTGACATTTTGCGAGAAAAATCCCCCAACTAACAACGACCACAAAACAATTAAAAAAAACCTAAATAAAAGTTAAAATCGAGAAAATAGTATAAATCACACGTTGCAGAAGGCTATTCTCGCACTCATTCGTTCGTCCACTCGCTCCTTCGTCGCTCGAGGCCAAATTTCGAATTCGTGCGAGAATATGTGGCCTTCTGCAACTTGTACTTTAATATACTATTATTCTTTGATTTTTTTTTATTACTATAATTGCAAAATATTATCACAAAGTATTAAAAATTCCTACACGGGAAATGTTAATGGTGACAATTACGTAATGTTCATCTTCTACGGGAGGAAAGAAGGAAGGAAGGAAGGCAATCTATAATTCAGGCTTAAAGCTCATTCACATCCACTTAATAGGCGTAACTTAACTTAACTTAACTTAAGAAACCTACGTCTGTTAAGTGGTCTGTTTACATTAACTTAATACACGCAAAGAACGTAATATACAAGCACGTGCAATGTAGACATCGATGTAGACTGGGTTGCCTATCTATCTATAAAAGTGAAACAACAAGATAGCGCTATATCGTTTTACTGGGCATGTGATTGGCTCTATCTATAAAAGTGAAACAACAAGATAGCGCTATATCGTTTTACTGGACATGTGATTGGCTCACGTAAGAAACGTATTCCCTTAAGTTGAGCCGGACCCAACTTTTGGTTACGTTAAGTTACGTGTGATAAGTTTTCTACGAATGTAAACAGCTGCATTGGTTTCAATGTATTTCAACTTACGTCTCTCACGTACGTTAAGTTAAGTTACGCGTATTAAGTGGATGTGAATGAGCTTTAAAAGCTTTAAAAGCTCATTCACATCCACTTAATACGCGTAACTTAACTTAACGTACGAGAGAGACGTAAGTTGAAATACATTGAAACCAATGCAGCTGTTTACATTCGTAGAAAACTTATCACACGTAACTTAACGTATCCAAAAGTTGGGTCCGGCTCAATACGTTTCTTACGTGAGCCAATCACATGCCCAGTAAAACGATATAGCGCTATCTTGTTGTTTCACTTTTATAGATAGATAGGCAACCCAGTCTACATCGATGTCTACATTGCACGTGCTTGTATATTACGTTCTTTGCGTGTATTAAGTTAATGTAAACAGACCACTTAACAGACGTAGGTTTCTTAAGTTAAGTTAAGTTAAGTTACGCCTATTAAGTGGATGTGAATAAGCTTTTAAGTCATCTTGCACCATTTAGCGTTGTTGTCAAATATATATACACTTTTTTTACTTTAAAAAAATTTTTTCTTTTTTTGGATTAATTTTTTTATATTATTTAGGTTGTGTGCGGTGTTTTTTAATTTTTTTTTTCAAAAATTCTCAGACGTTATCAAATTTCCAAAAATTCTCTGAACTTGGGAATTTTTCAAAATCTTCAGGATACTTTCAGTAAGTCATCTTGCACTATTTAGCGGTGTTGGCAAATTTATATCCACTTTTTTTGCTTTTTTGTACTTATTTTCAAAAATTATTATTTCCGTTGTTGCAAAATTTCTATAAACATACCAGAACTTAAAAATTTTTCAAAATCCTCAGGATACTTTCTATAAGTCATTTTGCACTATTTAGCGGTGTTGTTAAATGCATATATACTTTTTATGCTTTTTAAAAAAATTTTATACCTTTTTTGGATTACTTTTTTTTCAAAAATTTAAAAACTGTTTTTGCGGTGTTGCCAAAATTCTTAAAATCACAGAACAAGAAATTTTCATAATCTTCAGGATACCTTCAGTAAGTCATCTTGCAATATTTAAAGTTGTTGCCAAATTTCCAAAAATTTGCAAAACCTGGGAATTTTTAAAAATCTTTATTAAACCTTCAGTAAGCCATCTTGCGCTATTTAGCGACGTTAGCAAATTTCCAAAAAATCGATCATGTTTTTTGCGGTGTTGCAAAATTTCTTAAAAAATCCCAGAACTTCGGAATTTTTTTAAATCCTTAGGATCTTTTTAAATCCTTAGGATCTTTTCAAAAAATTTAAAAACCATGTTTTTGTGCGGTGTTGGCAAGCTTCTTAAAATCCCAGAAATTTTTATAATCTTCAAGAAACCTTCATTAAATCGATCTTCTTATTTTGCGTTGTTAAAAAATTCCTAAAAAAATCTCAGAACTTCGGAATTTTTCAAAATCCCAAGGATACTTTTAGAAAGTCATCTTGCACTAATTAGCGGTGTTGCCGATTGTAAATATACTTTTTTGCTTTTTTTTTAATTAAAAAAACATGTTTTTGCGGTGTTGTCAAACTTCATAAAATCATAGAACTTGAGAAATTTTTATAATCTTCAGGATACCTACAGTAAGTCATCTTGCAATATTTAAAGTTGTTGCCAAATTTCCAAAAATTTACAAAACCTGGGAACTTAAAAAAATCTTTAGGACACCTTCAACCACTATTTAGTGGTGTTGGCAAATTTATACAGGAAAAAAAGGCGATGTGCACACAATGGATAGTTTAAAATATTCGTACTTTCGCGCTTTAATTTTTTTGCCCACAGTTAATATTAAAGTTTTTTTGTGTGGAGCCATTCCATGCCAAATCAACACACTTTAAAAAGAAATTTTTCCTCACCATTTCAGATTTTCCTAAAATTTGGTATACTTATACTATGTACTAAGACTAAGAAAAATACCAATTTTTAAATTTTTATCTCACACCGTTTCCGATATATGGCTATGTAAAGTTTTTAAAAACTCGCGAAAAAAGTGTGAACGTTTATTTTTTAAATTGCGCTGGAAGCTGTCCTAATTTAGTTAGAAAGCTGGGAGAGGTGTCATTTTGCAGCATTTTAAATGCTCTTTCAAATGACATACGACTGCCAAGGGTATTAATAAAAAGATTTTGTTCAAAATCCATATATATATTTTGATTCAATTTTTTTTTTAAAAGTACATAATTTAAAATTCTCAAAATATTTGTATAAATACTTGGTAGTGTTCTGAATCATATAATAAAATATTAATGTGGGGTCTTAATGGGTTCATTGTTAAAAAAAATATTTCTGATGCTGGTTTTTCACTTTTAACTAATTTTGACATTATTCAACGTTTATCAGGCTTAAGTCTGACAATTGTATTTTTTTTTATAATGTCGGCTGTCATCATTTCCGACTTGTGTAATTTAATTACTGTGATACGCTTGTTTTGGCGATTCATATTGAACTATATTTTAAACAAAACAACATAAAATGAATATTTTCAAAAATATAAGGGTTCTAAGAACCCTAATAATATCGGCTGCCTACATTCCCGACTTTTTTAATTCAATTACTGTGATACGCTTTTTTGGGGATTCATATTGAACTAAATTTTAAACAGAAAAACATAAAATGCATATTTTCAGAAATGAAAGGGTTCTAGGAACCTGCTCGAGCAAACAATTTCCGCGAAAACCTTATTGATAAATTTTAAACTCGGTTAAAAAAAAATTCAGGGAACTTTTATCGGACCCTGTATATATTCGTAGTTTATTTAAAAATAAAACTATAAATGAGGTGTGTTTAAAGTGATTTTGGTGTCAAGATGGAGCCTACTATTGTAAGAGTGCAGTGTTATAATCCAATGAAAAAAACAAATCATTTTTTTTAACATGAACCCATTAAGACCCCACATTTATATTTTACTATATGGTTTAAAACAGTACTAAGTATTTATACAAATATTTTGAGAATTTTAAATTATGTACTTTTTGAAAAAAAATTGAATCAAAATATATATATGGATTTTGTACAAAATCTTTTCATTAATACCCTTGGCGTTCGTATGTCATTTGAAAGAACATTTAAAATGCTGCAAAATGACACCTCTCCCAGCTTTCTAGCTGAATTAGGACAGCTTCCAGAGCAATTTAAAAAATACACGTTCACACTTTTTTCGCGAGTTTTTAAAAACTTTACATAGCCATATATCGGAAACGGTGTGAGATAAAAATTTAAAAATTGGTATTTTTCTTAGTCTTAGTACATAGTATAAGTATACCAAATTTTAAGAAAATCTGAGGTGGTGTGGTAAAATGGGTGTGTTGAGTTGACATGGACTGACCCTGTGCAGGAAAACACTTTTTAAATTATTATAAATCAATTTAAAATGCTAAAATAGCTTTACAAATGTTAACACAAATTCAATTATATCAAAACTGCCGTGTTAACCTTAAAGGTCATATCTGCAATATTTTGTAGTAAAGGACAGCAGAAAATTTTAATTTTTAAAAACAATAAAGAATAAAGTTTTTTCTTTACTACCACAAACTGCCGTTCGAAGACAAAACTTCATATCTGCAATATTTAGTAGTTAAGCAAAAAAGCCATTTTTTATCGTTTTTTAAAATTAAAATTTTCTTCTGTCCTTTACTACAAAATATTGCAGATACGACCTTTATGCTTAACACGGCAGAAAACTACATTTAAATGCTAAATTAAAAATATAAATTACTTAAATAAATTACGAAAATAAAATTGTATTTGGAGTAAAGGTAATTTGTACTTGTATTTAAACTTTCAGGAGCTACTTTACGTTCCGGCTAGCCTCCCTCCACCATCAATTCTTCCTCCGTCTCCGAACGGAATTCACGTCGCTGCAAACTTTATCGCATCAGTTCGGCATTCCGCTAAAAGACATGAAGAACGAAACCAACTCTCTGTACAAATTGGAAACGCTGACAAATCACCTTTACTGCACAATCGATAACGACAGCACCGAGTACAGCGTGAACCTTAAAGCGGAACATCCGCTGAGCAAACGGAGGAGATCGAAGAGCTTCGATAATTTTTCCGAGCTGTTGGAACGGGAGGTCGTAAACGAGGACTTTCAGAACAAACAGAACGAGAGGCCGAGCGTTTTCGACGGCCCCGCTTTGAGAGGATCGAAGTCTTTGGAGGACGTTAACGTGCCTGGCCATCAGTACGACTATTTGGAGGAGATGTCGCTGCAATCGGTTTCTTTGCACTGCAGCTCTACTTCCATGTCGAGGTCGTCGAATTTGGACCTCGACAGCGGTCCCACTGATGAAGCATACATTATTGGTAAGTAGGGTTCTAAAAGACGTCCGCCCTCCTGATGATGATGAATTAAATCGGTTTGATAACACTATGATAGTTCGAATTACTAACATTGAGTAGACCCACCTATATTACCTAATTTTGGGCTGCTGATTTCAAAAATGCCCCTCGTTTTACTCCAGGACATCTAGAATTCGAAATAATTGGGTAATAAAATGCTCTGCCCAATTATCTCAAAATGTAAGTTTTTCGTTTCGTATTTTTATTATTTATTAAATTATTTTGCCTTAAATCTGTTCAGTATATTTTCGACGTTTTTTTTTTCAAAAATATGCAGGGACTCCTTATAAAGTCATGGGTAGATAAATGTCAAATAGAACATGTTTTGTTCCATTGTAGCCGTTTACAATAGCAGTATTATATATATAAGGGATATTTAATAAAGCACTTTTCTGCAGAGAAGTGTTTTATTAAATACCAAAACTAAAATTATACCTAATGTTTTTTTGGTAAAAAGTATTATTTTTTGAAATTTTTGTGTCGTTTTCTTAATTACTAATTAAATTGAAAAGGCAACAAAGTAAATGGGTTTCGGTATAAACATTACTCTCCGACTATTATTTGATATATTTTTATTCACATCATGCTTAAAGTACCAAAAATTCAATCTCCAATCTTATTTATTAAGTCTTATCAAAATTAAATATCGAATTGAAGTATAAAGGCGCCTTTATCTACTTTATCGTTCAAGCATATTAAAGTGCATCATCTATTAATTTTGGACATTTAAAATTTAAACTTTAACATTTAATATAAATGGACCTGATATACGACATTTAATAAAAGATCAAGCATTTAAAAATGCTCTCAATTTGAGCTTTAACACTGCCATATGCGACAAACTCGTCAACTTTAAGTTGACGAGTTTGTCGCATATGGCAGTGTTAAAGCTGTCATTAAAAATGTTCTTGGTTCATATTGGGCCTAAAATTGGCGCCAATTCATTGAAATAATGCTCTCCGTTTTGCAATGAATTAGCGTTAATATGTCATTTAAAACACATTTTCTTTTTTTTCATCCTGATAAATTTGCCGAACTGATGAACATGGAGAACGATTTCACCACGTAACTGCAAATCTAGAGCATTGGTAGATATCTATGGGTATAGCGGAAAGAAGTTGGATTCATTGCTAGAGAAATTTGCAGCAAAAGATATACGACGATGATGAGGATCAAGCACAATAATTTTATAATTCAATTCGATATTTGATACGATTTAATAAATTTAAGGTAGAAAAAAGCAAAATTATGCAATGCATTAAATTTTGTGGGCTTAATTTGGATAAAAAATATCGAAACTTCAAAAAATGTCAAATAATGGTTGTTTTTTACATAAAATACATTAAAATTTTAGTTTTAGTATTTAAAATGTTAAATTGTTAAGATAAATATGATCTATTCGCCGTATACCAATTACTTCAGTACATTCAAGATATAAGCCAAAATAATTTAATAAATAATTAAAATTCTAACAAAAAACTTACATTTTGAGGTGATTGAGCACACATTTTATTACAAAATTATTTTAAATCCTAGACAAAAACGAATGATATTTGAAATCAGCGGTCCAAAATTAGCTAAACTAAGCTGGAGTATTCAATATTAGGAAAAAAAGTTTCTAAATCAATGTGTAATGTTTCTAAAAAATCTTAAAACGAATTTTTTAAAATCTTTAGGATACATTTAGTAATTCATCTTGCACTTATTAACGTTGTTGTCCAAATTCCAAAAATTCACAAAATTTATAAAATTTTAGGATATCTTTGGTAAAGTCATCTTGCACTATTCAGCGGTGTTGCCAAATTTAAATCATTTTTTGTTTTTACATTTTTTTTCTTAAATTTCGAGAACTTTGGAATTTTTGCGACGTTGACAAAATTCCCAGAATCTGGGATTTTTGTTTTTTTTTGCGGTGTTGCCAAATTTCTAAAAAATCTTAAAACTTGGGAATTTTTTTAGTCTTCAGGATTACCTCGGTAATTTATCTTGCACTATTTAACGTTGTTACCAAATTTCCAAAAATTTCCGAAATAATGTAATTCTTTTAAATCTTGCACTATTTAGGCGATGTTGCCAAATTTACATCTTCTTTCTTGCTTTTTTAGTTTTGTATTTTTTTTATTTTTTACCTCTTTTTACCAAAAATTTTCAGAACCCAGGATATTTTGCGACGTTGTCAAATATCTAAAAATTAGGAGAATCTAGGATTTTTGTTTTTTTTCGTTGTTCTAAAAAATCCTAGAACTAGTGAATTTTTCTGCAATTTTTCCACTGTTTGTATTTTTTTTGTTTTTTTATCTATATTAGATCGTGGCTATCGAAAATTTAATAATTTTTTCGGAATTTTAAATTTTAATAATTTCGATTTTTTCCATACTTAAATTGGTCATTACAAAATTAATAATTATTTTAAATAATCAATAATTTTACTATACAGGGTGAATCGGAAGGATCGCACCGAACTCTAGGTTTGCATTTTACACATTAAAATAATTTAAAAAACTCAAATGTTCTTATTTGATTCTTATTTGTTTTGAAGTTATAGCGTAATTGAAAAATAAATAAAATAAAACGGTAACATTTGTTTAATAGTAATGACTTTTTATAATGGGGCGGGATCGGTTGGGTTGGGTTGTTGAGTTTGGGTTGGTTTGGGTAATTCATACTGACATTTCATTCATTCACTTTGACATTTGACAGGGAATAGGTTTGGAATATAGACGCAAGTTGGATATTTGTTTCCATAGTTTTTCAAAGAACATTAGATAATAATTTATTTTTTAAATTTTAATTTTTTTTTTAATTTCGCTATAACTTGAAAACAAATATGAATCGTATAAGAACAGTTGAGTTTTTTTTATTATTTTGATGTGTATACATTCTATAGAATGCAGTTTAGTGGGATCCTTCCGATTCACCCTGTATATTAGGCAGCTGGCTACTAGTACTAGTACTAATTTAGCACTACTAAAGTTACTTTAGTTATAGTTAAAAAAAAGGTATAAAAAGATTAATAAAAAAAATCATATTGTGTCGACTTGCCACAGCATCAAAATTATTTATATCAAATAGCTTGTTTCAAAACAAGAAAAATTATGGAACCAAAGTTATGATCAATGATATATTAGCAAAATCGTGAAAATTTAAAAAAATCATATCTTTAAAAACAAATGATAAACCGTGCTAAAATTAAAACTGAAATTTTATTTTGAGTCAGGAAACCCATGGAAAAATTGCCGAGGAATTTCGAAATGGCACGGGTTTTTTTCGTGTCGAATTCACGTAGAATTCCCCATATATTTGCGAAAGTGTGTTTGTTTGCCTTTCAAATAAAACTTCTTCATCTTTTTTTACTAAGCCATGCTGTACAAACAAAAACGTCAAGAAATATGCGAAATTTCCTCGAAGAAAAACCTCTCGTTTCAGATTCGACGATAAAGTCGTGCTCGCATCAGTTCCTGCCCGACTTCCAGGAATCCCTGAGCGAGTCGCTGCTGCACAAGCTGAACACGATGTCGTTCGCCGAGGAGCGCACCATGTCCGCCGTGACGGTGGAACGCGACGCGAGAGGCAGCCTCGGCGTCCAGATAACAGAGGGCTCCGACGGCAACGTGTACGTCCAGTCGGTCATCATGGGCGGGCCCGCGCACCTCACCGGCAACATACTGACCGGCGATCGGGTCATAGCGGTGGACTCGCGCAACCTGATCGGCACGAGTTACCAGGACGCGTTGGAGTTCCTGAGGAACCGGGGTAAATATGGCACGCAGTCTAAGCCACGGTGCTGATCTGAGAGGTGATTTTTGGACTTTCTGTGAAACCTAATTTTTTTTTTATATTCTTCTTAATTAGGTCATAACTAAAATTTTAAGAGCAAAATAAAAAAAATTTGACGGTTTGAATTGTTTTAATTGGCTGTTTATTAAAAATATTATGCACACTTTCAATTCTCCAATTAAAACTTGCGATTTTATTTAAATATTATCATAACTTTTTAAATCAGATTAAAGATTAGTTAATTTCCTAAAAATATATATTATATCTTTTACTGTTTTGTTGTAATACACGTTTACAGTTTTAATTTAAGGTTAAATGTATAGTATACATTTATTAAACAATAACTCTAAGGGTGCCACATTTTATTTAGGGCCGATTTATTCATTTTTGATTTATTTGACGAATAATTTCTTTGGATACTAGATATTGCCAAGACATAAAAGTTATCGGCCCGATAAACTTTACTAAAGATGAATAAACCGGTCCTTAGTTAAATTTCATGAATTTCTTCGTAACTTTTACTACAATTTTTCATTTTTGTTTATAAAAACCACTTTAAAAAACTAAACAAAAATTATAGAATACGTATACTGAAAATGACAATGCAAACGTCAAATAAATTTTTAATAGATCTATGTTTCATGGCAACCTTTAAGGATATATTAATTAAGGGAACATAAATGTATACGTCAAAGGTTAGATTAAAAGTTTGAACGTTTATTGCAACAAAACAGTAAAATATATAAAAAAAATTTAAAAACCTTTTTTTTAGTTATGCAAATATTAAATATTTAAATTAAATCGCTAGTTTTAATTTAATTGGATAATTGAAAGAGTGCATAATATTTTTAATAAACAGCCAATTAAAACAATTCAAACCGTCAAATTTTTTTTATTTTGCTCTTAAAATTTTAGTTATGACCTAATTAACAAGAATATAAAAAAAATTAGGTTTCACAGAAAGTCCAAAAATCACCTCTCAGAACAGCACCGTGAAGCGTTTATTAGATAATAGTTTGAAGATTAAAGTTTAGCACTTTAATGATGTCTTAACAGAAATTTACAAAGTTAAATTTTTAAACTTAAAACAATTAATAGTCAAAAATACAGTCCGCGCGTTATAACTTGCCCTATGCTCAGTTGGCGTAATTTCGTAATGGTGCCGCCCTTTAAGTTCAGTTTAACACGTGTTTGGCAAAGATGTGGCGCGTATTCATAATTTACTTTTAATTTTTTTTGGCTAGTTCTATTTATTATTATTATAGACATGTCGACAGTGTACCCAAATTTCGTCGAATCGCAAAATTAGTGATAAACTGGTTTAAAAAATATATTAAATTAAAAAAGGAAAGGTAACAAAGTAGTACAATCTTAAAGGTACCTACCTAATTATATACATAAATATGTACCTACAATATATTTTACGTGTATAAAAAAACAATTTTTAAGTAAAGGTATCAAAGCAGTATAATTTTAAAAAGTACCTTAATTATATAAATATACCTAAATGGGTGGTTTTCAGTATATTTTAAGATTCTGATTTAATTTTGAAAAAAAATTGTTCGGATTTAGTTCAATTGAATTTTAGGTAATTTGGTCAAATATGCCAGGGTTTTAAATAAAAAATTAACAATTTTTTAAAATGACCGTCGCATACTTTTTTTTTTCAGGTGATTTCACACATTTTTTTGCTTAACATTAAAAGTATCCCCATGTTGTGAATTTTAAGTTAGAGTTTCCACCGGTAAACAACCGATAACAAAAAAAAACAAAGCGAGCAATTTATAACTATTTATATTGCTATTTTATCACTATAGGCGGTCATCATACGAAGAACTTTAACTTACGTTTTCTATATCAAAATACACGACAGGAATTGTAATTATATCGCTAACTGAACTGCACAATTAGACGACCCAAAAGTCCTTCTACGGTCATGAGAAGAAAACTTCGGGACAACGTTCAGTTATTATTTTTAGCCTAAACATTAACAATAATGACTACTTAAGACAATTTTATAACACAAAAAACCCAACATTTGCTCAATATAATTTTCTTTGGCTACTTAAAAGTTGAATTAAATTTTTAGAATATCGCAAATATTGGATTTTGCTCGAGGGACATACGACGGTCATGCGAAACAGGAGTTTTAAAGATGACCCTTTACAAATTCAAACCAAAACTTTTTATTTTTAACAACTTTAAATTGATACGTTTTTAACACAAAATTTATAACTTTACATTTAAATGTAAGTCGATAATTTTTAATTTACAATGTGTAAAGGTGGCTTTAGCAGACTGCGTACGCGTACAAAGCGCTGCAGCATATGCAGTCAGCTAAAGCCGCACCCAGTGAACCAAACCGTGACTTATGACCTAAAATTTACGTAACACGTAGATCATATCTAGGTAATACAATTTTTACGTCATAGTGACATAATACTGACCCAAAACGTGACTTTTATATGATGTAATTAAATGACTTACATATTACGTACATCTTATGTAATATTAAAGTCATATCGTGACGTAATATTAAAGTCACTTTTCTTACGTAAGACTGACATAAGAAATCTGTCATAATATTACATAACTTTTAGGTCACTGTCTTACGTAAGACTGACGTAATAAATCTGTCATAATATTACCTAAGTGTAAGGTCACTTTCTTACGTAAGGCTGACGTAAGAAATACGTCATACTATTACATACGTTTTAGGTCACTTTCTTACGTAAGACTGACGTAAGAAATCTGTCATACCATTACATAAGTTTAAGGTCACTTTGTAAGGTAAGACTGACATAAGAAATCTGCCATACATATTATTTAGACGAACTAGATGCAAAAGTAATTTCAAAGTATGAAATTCACTGTATTTTATTGTTTGAATTAAACTAATTTCAATGAATGGACTTTTATTTTCAATGAGTGAAATAGTCAAACATAATTTTTATTTTTTATTGATTGAAATGGTTAATTCAAACATTGAGTAAAATAACGTAAGTAAATTCTATTAATTGAAATTGACGCCGATTATTTTAAACAATAAAATCAGTGGATATATCCAGTATACTTTTCCTTACCAATGAGTTTAATTCAAACATTAAAATACACCAAATTTCATATTTTAAAATTACTTTTGCATCTAGCATGATGAAAGAAATAACGCGAAGTTCCTTGAATTTTTTGGCTACTTATAAGTAGCCAAAAAATATAGTACTTGGTCGATTAAATGAAAATATGGTTTAAAACCAATCAAAAAATAATGTATCTTAATTTAATATGTAATAACCATCATAATATATTATAGATTTTTATGATTCCGGTTCCTACTGCTTTATGACGTAAAAAATTTTGAAAATAGCGTCGTACTTTCAAAAGTACACATTTTATTCAATGGTCATGTGAAAAATCATGTAGGTATGATTAATCATGGTTGCAAGTACTTGCAAGTACCTACTTATTTTTTAAATTGTAAAAAATTATCAACAAAAGATTTACGTGTTATTACGTGTTAACTTGTTATTTTTGTATTGTATGTTACTGTTATTATTTTTTGAAAATGGCGCTTTTGGTGAAAGTGGAATTTTTTTGTTCCACCCTGTACAATCGAAAAAATAAGTAGTTACGCTTTCAAAGACCTGAAATGATATTTCACTCACTTCAAATTTTTTTAAATGTGACCTTGGCAGTACGACGTCATTTGTTTTTTTTAAATCCATGCATGTCAAAAAATGTTAGGTACCTATTAAAATACTAAAATTTTAAATTTCTAAAATAAAAATAATTTTTAAATGTTGAATATTGTCCCTAGCTATAGCTATAGCTACTCATAAAAAGCGATTTTTTTTTGTTCTTACTTCTGACATACCCTGTAAAGAATCTGAAAAATTAGTAGTTGGTTCAAAATCCATTGTGAGTTGGTTTTGATCAGCTTCATAAATTAGATAAAGTATCAGCTTGCAATAAATACCTTTTCGGTAATGATTCCATTTCCCATTGAAAAAAATGTGACCTTTTGACAGTACGACGCCATTTTAGAAATTTTTCAAAATTGCTTTAAGTCTAAAAGTAGTACCCAGAGTACCCTTGTCTCTGGTAGTACCTATATATTTAATGCCTTGTTTAACATACTAAAATTTCAATTTCCAAATACAGAGGTTCAAAAAATAAAACTATAAAAAATAATACAACCAAATTTAAAGAATTTAATATTATAATATAATATGGTATAATTATATATTAATATAATACCTATAATAATAGATAGGTATTTGCACAATAATGTTGGTATTAGTATATTTTTAAAATTTAAAAAATAATAAATAAAAGAAATGAAATTGACAAACGAAATTATTTAAGTACACAGAATATTTAGTATTAATAATTAAGAAACCAAGAGATTTTTAAAAATATATGTAAACTATTAAAGAATTTTTCATTGATAAAAAAATTTTATAATAATATTATAATATATAAGGGTAAAGTTGTCAAATAACATTGATATATTAATTGTTAACAGTTGCAATATGCAGTAAGGTTGCCTATGATAAGTAGGCATCTACTATAATATAGTAGAAATCTACTTATCATAGGCAACCATTATTGCATAATACATCTCGCTTATGTGGCACTATTCGTTAAGTATATAAGTTGACACTGGCTGCATTGCAATTTGAGATTTAGGAATCCGAACCTCGGCAAATAAACGAGTCACGAATTGTGGCCTTACGATAATTTAGCTTTTTCAGTGGAATTCTTTGTTGGAGCCAGGATTGTTCCGTCTGGATCGTCATGAAATTTCCGTGGCCCTCTGCTTAAACAGTGCCTGCTTTGCAAGGTCAAAGCCGCGAACCCACAATTTCACTCATTTAACGTCAAGAGGGAACTGATTTCAGCCAAGTGAGCTGTTTCAGTATTTACATATTTTGCCCCATGATGAAAAATAAGGAGGTCATATTTATGTCACATTTATTACGTAAATATTATGTAATAGTATGATGTCAGTGTTACATCAAGATGTTTACGTCAGAGTCTGACGTAAGAAAGTGTGAAATAATGACTCTTGTATGACTCAAGTGTGACCTATATCTTACGTAAGCGTGACTTGACATGACGTCATATTTACGTCATATTTACGTAATTGTGTTTACTGGGCATTTACACATTGTAAATTAAAAATGATCGACTTACATTTAAATGTAATATGAAAATTTTTAAAAACCAATATTTTAAATTGAAACTTTTACATTTGCATTTTATATTTAAAATATTTTTGATTATCAATTGTTTTGAGGTTAAAACAAAATTAACTTTTTAAACTATTTTGGTAGAAAATGTTTTTATTTTAAATGTCTCGACACTATTTTTAAATACTAAAAAATTTAACTTTACCAATTTAATCTAAATAATTATATAAAAAAGTTCTGCTGAAGTAAATTATTTTCATTAAAAAATTAAAGTTTTTTTGCAAATACATAACAATAACATTTTAAATTAAAAAAATATTTAATAAATGTTAAATGCCTTAGGTAAAAGGGTGGAGTTCGTCGTTTCCAGGTTGCTGCCTTCCAAAGCCAGTCACGCGATGAGTTTGAGGGCGCGTTGTAATCTTTCGAACATCGAAGAGTCGCATCTCAGGAACAGGAGGAGTCCTGTCGAGAAGCACCTGACGGAAAGTTGCCATGATTCCTACAACACCGGGAAACACGCTGGCAAAAGTATGGATGTGCCGTATCACAAACACATCCGGTATGAGGTCGAGCACAACAAAAAACAAACCCTCAACAAGTCGAAGTCGATGTCAAACCTGCACTTTTCGCAAACCAACAACAAGGCCGTTGTTGTTGAAATGATCCCAAAGGAAACCACCGACATATCCGGCTTCCTCTCACTGGACAGAAAGCTCGTTAAAAATCAAAAAATCCTCGACGATAGCCAGTGTTTCGGTGGGCAAATCGCACTACCAAGATCGTTGGGTTTGAGCAGAAAATGGCGCGGACCAGTTCGATACCCTGTAACTCCAATAAAAAAAATCACACCCAATCTTGCCACCGAACCAGACGGCGTCTTCGTTAATTCCGATGACGAACAGGTTTTTATCTGACACAATTTTCCTTTAAAAGTACATTGTGTGAATGTATATAGTTAAATAATTAATAAATGTAAGATATATTGTATGGATGTTTTAAGTTTTGTATTACTTTGGTTTTCTTTAGATAAAGTTCCATGAAATTGGTCCAGTAGCTCCTTGAATCTTTTCGTACAAAACAATTAGATTAAAAAAAATAATCTAAACACAATTATAATAATGCAAAGGGAACACTTACAGCGAATCTGTCAAAATTTTCAATTTTTGCATGAATCTTTTGCGGTTTTTCTCTTTAAGAAAACAATTTATGTTATTATTGGTTTGAGGCTCTAAGAGGAAAAATTCAAAAAGTAGGTGGCTCTAAAGTCCCCAAACAAAATGTCTAAACAAAAAATGTAGGGCGCAACTATACCATTGAAAAACACGATTTTTGCCATTTATTTATACTTAAAAACGCGTGACGTCACGATGTAATAATATAGATCTGTAGGAGTCCAAAAACTGATTTTTGAAGGAGATATTTTAAACGTAATATTTTCATATTTGCATTGTCGCTCAAAGAGTGATTTCTATAAAACAACGCATAATATTCTGTGGGTTTTTATAGAAATTAAGCTTCAATATATTAACCAGTTGACAGTTATATCTTTTTATTTGTTATAAAACCATTAACAGCGTATTTTTATTATAAATGTATAAAGTTTTCGGAAAAATCAAAATTACAAATTAACCAAGGACAATAAAAATGAATGAAATTTTCTGAAAAATGTAAAATACATTTTTCCTCTTTGTTTGTGGACATACTGTAGGTAGGGTTGGGAAAATTTCACTTTTTGCTTGTACTTGAAATTTCACTTGAAATTTTCATGACATTATGAAATTTATTAAAATTTCCTAAATTTCTGAAATTTCATGAAATTTATGAAATTTATTGAAACTTTCAATAAATTTCAATCACTTTAAGTGTAATATATTAATATTGAAATAAGCCCACTCGGGGACCATGGCAAATTGCCTCTCTTACCTCCTACCCCTCTGTGGGCCCCTGCACCAATAATATAAATAGTAAATACCTATGTTTACCACAAATTTCTTGAGATTTCCTTTTAAAATATTTTTAAAATTACTTAAACTAAAAAAAATATAGCACTTTTTTGTAAGCTAATGAGATTGTGCCACTCATTGTTTTATATTTATATATAATTATTATTTTTAAATATTTTACTGAAATTTTACGAAAGTTGAAGAAACTTCATCAAAATTTTATGAGCCAATGGCATTTTTTATCCGTTTTCCAATGCAATTGTAGCAAAAGTAAAAGTTTAAATTAATCATGACTTTAAAAAAAAATGTAAAGTCTGATTTAATTTACAAATTAAATTGGTAACTGAATTAAATTATTAATTAAATTAATAAATTAATGTATGCATATAAGTAACAATAATTACTTATAGTGTATTCAAATCCAAGCCGAACTAAACAAAAACGCCCAGACGCTTGATAACTCGTTCTTATTGGTCGATTCGGAATCTGTTGTAAATTATTATTAAAGGTCCCAGGGGAGGCCCCATGTGAAATTTATGCGAAATTTTCAGTAAATTGCGAAACTTTCAATGAAATTTCTGAAACTTTCACAGACAATGTTGAAATTTTCGGATTGAAAATTTCATTTAAAATTTTTAAAAATTTCACTTTTCCAACTAAATGAAATATTTCAAGTGAAACTTTCAAAGTTGAAATTTTCATTTGAAAATTTCAACTGTCCCAACCCTAACTGTAGGTATGTTGTTTAAGACGGTGCTAGAAACAGATGTTGGATTTATTCGAAATTCTTGACAAATATGTTATAATATAGTGACGTCACCATCCCTCAAGGTCATCGAAGCGTTTTTCAAAACATTTTTGAATAATTTTAATAACAAAATTCTATAGGATTCCAAATATGCAATAAAAAATTGCTTATCCTAAGACCATTGCAGAGGACAATACTTGACATTTTAGAGAACAATTAAATCCAAAAATCTTTTGTGCTTTTACCAAAAACCCTAAGCGATCCCTCTAAAATGAGGTTAAGCTGTTTTCATCAGCCCCAAACGATTCATTCAACAATTTTTCAGATATATTTCGTGATTTTATTTTAACCAAAATCCACTCTCGTTAAGTTAGAGAACCAACTGCACAGACTCTAACAACGGTCATTTTTATGTTGTTTACAATTCTTGTGCTTCGGGTTTGTGCTGTTTGTACAGATTAATAATCGTTTTAAACGTTTTTTTTTAACTTTAAGTGCTAAGGGCAACCATTTCACTCTTATGTAAAAAAAAAATAAACCTTATTCTATAAGGGCTGTCATGAAACAATTTTAAGGTTACTTTGTGGGTATGGATTTATGGTATGCGCGAAACGAGATAGAACAGGATTGGGATTTAAGGTTTATATACAGCGTGTTAAAAAAACAGTAGATTTTTGCCAAAATGAGGGGGAAATGTTAATATTTTAGCTCGTCAGAAACACAGTGTTGTCATGTTTCTTAAACATAACCTAAAAACTACTCGCCAAAGAAATGTCTTTTTGTAATGTAATTTTTTTTATCGTGTATTATATGGAAAATTGTACATGAGTCCAATGTTTAGGATTTAACCAATGTATAAGTAGATTAAAAACAAACACTGTTTTTTGGGTTTCATGAATTTATTTTAATTTAATTTGACAATTGTTTTGCTAACACAGTACTTAGAAATGATTTCAAACTTTATCTAATAACAAACTTATATAACACAACTATTGCAGGTAATATTACCATATGGGTTTTAAAAAGTTGCAAAAAAATAATTTTGGGGAATTGTCTTTCTTATATAATATTAGAATAAATTTAACAAAAGGGAATCATTTGTTTGGTTTTCTTGAGTTTTAATTGACCATTTATGGTCACAATAAATTAAATGAATGGTCATTTAACAATAAGTTCAAAATTTTCATACTTTACTAATATTAAAAAAAAAACATTACCTGTTATAATTGTGTTACCTATATAAGTTTGTTATTAGATAAAGTTTGAAATCATTTTATTTTTTATGGAGTTTTGTCAAGTAAAGGAGTTTTGTTAAGTAAAGGTAAAGTAAATAATAAAATGTTTAGGATTTATTCTCATTATTTAACCAACTATCAAAAGTGAAAAAAGTACATTTCATTTTTTTTATTTGGACTTTTTTATTAAGTTGGTAGCTTATGCCAGTTTGATTTAGTATTTTTATTATTTAAAAAATGGTACTTCAGCTAAAGACCTTAATTAAATACTTTAACACTGTTAAATTGGCAGTAATATTTATTATTGATAATTTACTTGTTAATTATTAAATAATATCGATATAAAAAGATAACTATGCCAAAAATAATCAGATTCCAAAGTAAAATAACTTTTAAGGGCAAAACTTTATTTCGATGAAGTTTTTGGAGTAAAAAAGTAACGTTTTTGGTTTAACAAATATTAAATCACAAATTAAATACCCATTCACCATTGGAATCTAATGATTGGACAACCTTCACGTGTGTCCACATAAAATTTTAATTTCTTTTATATACATTCTTTTCAAAGCAAAGATTATTATCCGCTAGAAATACTTTGTCTCTCCTGGGCCGTAGTCACCTATATTTAACTACTTTTTTACTCATCTAACCCTAAATTTGCAACGTTGCCGCAGTCCAGATGAAAAAAATGAACTTTAGTTTGCTCTTTATTTGTCACATGTCATGAAGCCAACCAACTTATCAAATGTGTTATAAACAAACCTAGAAACGTGGCATAGAAACCTCCAAATATTAAACCAAATGTCATAATGACAAGCTTTTGAATAATATTTATTTTCAAATAATTTAAAAATGTGTGAACCCAGTCCGTGCCCCCACGAGCCACCCCAAGAAAACCGTTGCAGGGCTCAAAACGTGTCCACGGCTCATGTAAAACCATGCCCTCTACCGAAAACCAAGAAACCGTTTTTTTCGACGAAACAGCTCTCCATCATGACTCTCTTTTTTCCGACGGCGGTTTTTTACGGCATGGCGTCCATTTTGTTTTGTACTTACCTGGTAGATTGGAGGAACGTTGCTAGGGCCATACCAGGATTGCATTTTGGTGAAGAAGCAAAGAATACAGATGCAGGTGCAGGTGATGATGCAGGTGCAGGTACAGGTGATGATGTAGGTGCAGGTGGTGATGCAAATGCGGAAGGAAATGCAAATATGGCGGAAAGTACGCAAGGGGAGGAAGTGGACGATTGCAAGGAGAAAAATGAAGACTAATTATAAAACAAATTAAATAATGAGAATATAAATATCACTTGAGTTCTTGTAGGTACATTTATTTACCGTATTTTTGGTTATCCTTGACTGGGTAATCACTCACAGTAAGGAAAAAACAGCAAACAGGTAGTTTAATTAGATTATAACTATTATAATTATAGTATACTGTATATATATTTATTGTCCTCATTACTTTATATTGCAGATATTTTGATATTTTCTTGTTATTACCTAGAAAAGTTATTGTTTTTTCTTTTTTGGGCTAAACACTTCAAAATCAGACACTGAGAATTAAAGCCTGACATTATTAGTTGAGATCATGGTTGAGATTAGTAATTTTTTATACATCATAGGAATTATTTTGAATCAACTTGATCTAAAGTAAATACTCGCCCCAAATGGTTATTACAAAAAATCATTTTACATTAAAAGACTGTCCATACGTGGATAAACACATAACATAAATTTAAACCTTCTGTACATTAAGAGCAACTTTATTAATTTTTTCCAAACTATTTGTTATTATCTCGCACGTGGTTTATCACTCAAAATGACTGCTAAACCGCTTGATGCATTAAGTGTACATTTAAATTAAGTGTTAACTTTAAAACTTTATCTAATCTATGATTAAAACACTTTGTTGATTATATTATACATTGTGTCCACGGATAAGGATACAAAGAGGAACATTTTTTTTTACATTTCTCAGAAAATTTCTTTCTTGATAAAAGTTTTTTCTTGATTTGAAACCGCCAGAAAAAGCGACAAATCATTTAAAGTATATTATGTATCAAGTTTGATAAACGCCATTTTATTCACAAATTTAATTTAGGCACGAGCGAGTTCTTAGATGAATGAGTTTATAGAAAAGTTTATAAACGAGGTGCATACTATACTTTTTCTACGACAAATACTTATTATTATCTTAAAATGATTTAAATCAAAATTTTTATAGAGCGCCATCTATGAAACAATAGGGGAATCTGTGTGTCAAATGTCAAATTTTTATATTTTATGAAGGTTATAAATCGAAATGTATTTTTTGAAAATTGACAGTTTTTCACAGTGAAAGTAAAGAAAATGTTTTATGAGCACTTACAGTGGAGTACGTGCCCGAATTTAAGTTATAGTTTACTGCCGGCGAAATTAAAAGGTCAGTACAATGTTCATATAAACTTTTTAAATATTGACGTTGAGAAACTATTGAGAACTTTTGTATTTTTGTATTGAGATAATAAAATAATCTTCACATTTAGTATTATTTTACAAGAAAGGCAATTTATTTTAACGATTGTATGACATTTGAGTCAAATGATTTGACAACTGTCAACTAACTTCAGCCCGTGACTAAAGCGCCATAAAGCCACAACTTGTCAATGTGTATTTAAAAGGTCACTTAGTATCATGGAAACATATACGATAAAGGGCGTTTTAAAGGTGGGAGTAGAAAAAATTGTTTCCATGACACTAAGTGACCTTTTAAATACATATTGACAAGTTGTAGCTTTACGGCGCTTTAGTCACGGGCTGAAGTTAGCAACAGGTTTTTAGTCACGGGCTGAAGTTAGTTTTAAGTTAGTTGACAGTTGTCAAATGTCATACAATCCTTAAAATAAAGTGCCTTTCTTGTAAAATAATACTACATGTGAAAATTATTTTAATATCTCAATACAAAAATATTAAATAGTTTCTCAACGCCAATATTTGAAAAGTTTATATGAACATTGTACTGACCTTTTAATTTCGCCGGCAGTAAACTATAACTTAAATTCGGGCACGGACTCTACTGTAAAGTCCTCATAAAACATTTCTTTTACTTTCACTTTGAAAAACTGTCAATTTTCAAGAAAAACATTTCGATTTATAATTGTGTTTATAAAATGTAAAAATGTGACATTTGACAGTTTCCCCTGTTGTTTCATAGATGGCGCTCTATACAAATTTTTGATTTAAATCATTTTAAGATAATAATAAGTAGGTATTTGTCGTAGAAAAAGTATAGTATGCACCTCGTTTATAAACTTTTCTATACACTCATTAACTTAAGCACTCGCTCGCAAGCTCGATCGTGCCTAAATTAAATTCGTGTATAAAATGGCGTTTATGAAACTTGATACATAATATACTATTATCACAGACCTACAAACAAGTTTGTAGGTCTGTGACTATTATGGATAATTTTCAATTTTGATTTTTTTGAAAAATCATTTTAAATAAAAAAAATCTAGGTTTTTGAAATCAAGAATGAAATCTTCTGAGAAATGTAATTCTATTTAAACTGTAAACAAATAATTTTATAATACCCTAGTAAAAAAAATCTGTAAAAATTGACACCCTAGTCTGTATCACGATATTTTTAACTTATAAATATAAAACAGGGTAAATGTTTCTAATGCTTTGCAAAAGAAAACATTTATTTGTCAAACGCCCTATATATTATACTGAATGTTGTCGTTAAAAATGGTATCAACTGGTAACCAATCTAAATGTATGTAAATTTGTTTGCTGAGAAAAACTATAGTGAACCTTAGAGTATATATCACGTGGACGTCATATGCTCTCTAAGGTTTTTAAATCTATGTATAGGCTTATTGGTAAATGTATATTTGTGCTTTCGGTGAAAATTTGATGGTGTCTTTAAATTAATTTAATTAAAAGGGAAACGATTTATTTGTAAAATGGTTGGCCTGAAAATATATTGTTTTATTTCTTGTTAATTTTATAGCTTTAAACGTAAAATTTAGATACTTAAATTGTGATTTTAACATTACTTAATGTGATATTAATGATAATATTATATTGGGATTTTGGCAAATCATCTGTAAAAAATGTCGACCAATTTTGAAATATTTTTCAATGTTTCAATGTTATTGGATTTTCTCTAATAAAAATAAGGCCTTTGTAAATGATTTACCAATACAAAGCATATTTCATATATAGGTATTTATTGATTAGAACAAAGAATGAATATCTGGGTATGACCCATATTGGAACTGAATATATCATTGAAACATATTAAATAAATTAAGTTAATAAAACTGTTACCATTGAGTAAAGAACACACTTTACTCAATGCTGTTACTCTTGGTCAAATTAAGTAATAATTTTATTGATAAAGTGGCAAGATAATAATATTTATCGACATTGTATATGCAGTGGTAGATATGCTAGAATGCTATTAGAGGGCCAATTTAAGACTGTGCCTAAACGTAAATTTTGAACTGATTATTGTTTTGTATACACTTAATTAACATTAGATTTAGTAACACATACAAGTATCCAAGGTATTATGTACGAATTATGTTAGAATAAATACCATATAAATGTATTTTAACTTGTTTTATTTTAACCTTTACTCAGGTTCTTCATCAGTTTTACGATTTCAGTAAAAGTATCGCATAACAAGAAAAAAAATCCAACTCTAAAACGCCTTTACCAATCTTTATAAAGGGTTTTACAATAAGGACATAACAATTTTGTTTTATAATACAGACCATAGCCTAAAAACTTTTAATGATCTGTCAATGTTAAAACGTTAGTCAAAGTTTAAATTTTTATAATGGTGAAGTTCACGAACGAGCAACGTTTGGAAATCGTTAAAACTTATTACCAAATTCTGAGTCGAATGTTGCAATGTTAAGAGCGCTTACTCCAATTTTTGGTTGCAATATTCGTCCCACCAGACAAGCTGTGCATGCGATGGTGAATAAATTTAAATCAACATATTCACTATTAAATGTTCCTGTTCCAGTGAGACAAACCACCGGTCGAAGTACTGAAAATATTTCAGCCGCAAGAGCTTAAGTTCAAAATGAACCAAACAAGTCGATTGCACCCCGTTCACAAGAATGGGGTATTTTTTAGTCCACATTATGGCTAATTTTGTGTAAAGATCTTAAGCTACTCCCTTACAAGATCAAATTAACCCAAGAACTGAAACCTCTGGATTATTTAAAGCGCCGGAACTTTTCCGATTTTGTTCTGCAAAAGTTTAAAGAAAATCCTGAATTTCATCAAAAAATTATCTTTAGTGATGAAGCTCATTTTTGGCCGAATGGCTTTGTCAATAGGCAGAATATCCGTTATTGGACAGCAACAAACCCACATGTGCTTTATGAGACTCCATTGCATCTACAAAAATTAACCGTGTGGTGTGGATTTCATGCCGGAGGTGTAATATGGCCGTATTTTTTCGTCGATGAAAATAATCGCCATGTTACGGTCAATGGAGTTCGCTATCGTGCCATGTTGAAAGTTAATTCTTGGCCTGAATTGAATGAAATTGACATCAACGATATGTGGTTTCAACAAGATGGTGCCACAAGCCACAAAGCTGGTCAAACAATTGCTTTATTAACAGAAAGATTTGGTAATCCTTTAATCTCGAGAAATGGTCCAGTCAAATGGCCACCTCGCTCATGATTTTTGACGCCGTTGGATTTTTTCTTATGTGGTTACCTTAAGTCGAAGGTTTATGCCAACAATCCAACTACGTTAGAGGAGCTCAGGAACAATATCAAACGGGAAATTGCCAACATTTCGGCTGATATGTGTGAAAGTTTGATTGAAAATTGCACCCAAAGAATAGATCGCTGCCGTCGTGCTCGTGGTGGTCATATGAACGACGTCGAGTTCCATACATAACTGTAATATGTGTACTACACCTGGAATAAATTTGTCCCCGATATCTCAATTATTCTATGTTTTATTTATAAACAAAACTGTTATGTCACTATTGAAAAACAATTTTGTATAAAAATACTTATATGGGTGATTCCACAATCCACAAGTGGATTGTGGGTGATTCTACAAAAGTTGGACAACTTGATGTCATCAGTCAATAGAGTAGGTATTTTAATATTTTTTGTAAATATCCAATTGTCCACCCAATTTTAATGTATTTTTTCAAAAGCACGTTTGTAGAGAAACATAATAAATATTTAAAACATCAGTACCTTGGCGTGTCACAACTCCTGAATCAAATATTTGAGTGATTTTTT